ATTTTTCCCCACGAAAGTGGAATTATCCTTTAAGTGTACCTAAGCAGTACCCTGAAACATTTACCTATTGTGTTGAATTCCTCCTGAAAAATAGCAGTGCACTTTGACATGTGACATTGCCTAGGTACTTCTGGTCTGTAGCCCAATAACTGGAGATTTGCAGCATGAGATCTAAGGGACTGATGCCTGTCGGTCCCTGAGGCTCAAAGATATTCTGATACTGTTGCTTGGCAGATAGGTAGTTGTACCTAAGAACCTGCATTGCAACAATCTTTCTAGTTCTGCTTTTTCATTCTGTGATTTCTGAACCTCCTACGTCTTGAATATCACACCTCTAGATATCAGATCAGTAGTCATCAGTGGGACAGCTCTGATATAAGAAAGCAAAGCCCTGACCCTCTGCTTGAATCTCTGGGTACACCTTCCACAATTCGGGTCCTCTTTAAAGTGGTCTTAAACTCAAAACATGTTTTTGTTTATTTTTTTTAGTTATCTTTATTCATATTTTCAAATTTTTGTACAAATTGACAAAAGAAAAGAAAATACAAATTCTGATGGAGAGGAAGCAGGCAGTAAGCATACCGTACAGCACTTGCAATTTACATGTTGAGAGAGAAAGAAAACATCAGTTGTGAGCGGTCATATTTCCCATCATAGAAAGAAAAAAGAAAAACAAGGAAACAAAAAAGAAATGGACAAGCAATTAAAAAAAAAAAAAAAAAAAAAACACTGACAAATTAACAAAAGAAAGTTGCACATCATATCATATAGTCAATGGGAGGCCTACCATTCCAATTTGAGACATAGCATAGAGGGATATGTATAAAGGAAGGCTGAACTCAGGACTGGAAACCTCAACTCCGTCCCAAATTAGCACATATCGGGATCATGATAACAGAAGTGAACTTCGCATGTTCAAGGGTCTATCTGAGTCAAGCAGGTTTGTAATGGCTCCTGGTGGAAAAAAGGGGTCCAGGACTCCCAACTCCTTCTCTGTTTACCCAATAGGTGTAGTAAGTATCCCCCCGAGGTGAGGGGGGGGGGTCGTTCCCCACAGTAGGTGAGGAGTCATAATCTTTCAGTCGACCTAATGTGTTTACCAGGTTGGATTTAGCATACCAAGCAGTATATTGAAAAGTGGTCATAAGGTATCTTATTTCCCGTTGTGAAAAGGTATGTTCTATAAATGCACTCCATCGTGTAAAAAAAAGTTTGGTGGGAACAAAATTCTAAACCAGGGTATCCAATTTTTCCAGGTATAAAAGCGACTTCAGGTCTTTTTTAACAGATGATAATGCTGGACTGTGCGGGGAGATCCAGGCCCTCAATAGCACTCTCCTAGAAGATAAGAGACACAAATGAATCCACAGGGGTAAGGTCTTGGGATGAACTGTGCTGTGTGTGGCACTGGCCATGTGTACCGAGACACTGAATAGACAGTAATCACATTTAACCCCAAAATGCCACCGAAAGAAAGCCCAATTCATGGGGAAAGAAAGGATGTAAATTTAATTTTGGTGCAGCGTTGCATGACCACACAATTGTCAGTTAAAGTGACACAGCGCCATAACACAAACCGCTTATATAACTGCTTCCTGTCCGCCCTATAGCAGAAATACTGCTACAGTGGCATGGGTGTGCAAAATCACATATATACAGTTACAAGAAAAAGTATGTGAACCCCTTGGGATTACGTGGAGTTTTGCATGAATTGGGCATAAATTGTGCTCTGAACGTCATCTAAGTCACAACAATAGAAGAACAAAGTCTGCTGAACATAATACTACACAAACATTAGATGTTGCCATGGTTTAATTGCACATAACATGTAAACATTCACAGTGCAGGGAGGAAAAAGTATATGTGAACCTTTGGACCTAATAATGGTTGACCCTCCTTTGGCAGCAATACCCTCTACCAAACGTTTCCTGTAGTTGCAGATCAGACCTGCACAACGATCTGGAGTCATTTTGGACCACTCCTCTTCACAAAACTGTTTCAGTGTAGCAATATTCTTGGGATGTCCGGTGTGAATCACTCTCTTAAGGTCATGCCACAGCATTTCAATCGGGTTGAGGTCAGGACTCTGACTGGGCCACTCCAGAAGGCGTATTCTGTGCTGTTGCAGCCATTGTTTTGTTGAATTACTTGTATGCTTTGGGTCATTGTCCTGTTGCATCACCCATCCTCTGCGGAGCTTCAGTTGGCAGACAGATGGTCGTGCATTTTCCTGCAAAATGTCTTGATAAACTCTGGAATTCATTTTTCCATCAATGACAACAATCCGTCCAGGCCCTGAGGCAGCAAAGCAGCCCCAAACCATGATGCTCCCTCCGCCATGTTTTACAGTGGGGATGAGGTTTTGATGTTGGTGTGCTGTGCCTTTTTTTCTCCACACATAGTGTTGTGTGTTCTTCCCAAACAACTCAATCTTGGTTTCATCTGTCCACAGTATATTTTGCCAGTAGTGCTGTGGAACATCCAGGTGCTCTTTTGCAAACTTCAAACTTGCTGCAATATTCTTGTTGGACAGCAATGGCTTCCTCCGTGGTGTCCTTCCATGTACTCCATTCTTGTTTAATGTTTTCCTTATTGTAGATGTGTCAACAAAAAATGTTAGCATGTGCCAGAGATTTCTGTAGGTCTCTAGCTGACACTCTGGGATTCTTCTTTACCTCATGCAGCATTCTGCGCTGTGCTCTTGCAGTCATTTTTACAGGACGACCACGCTTAGGGAGAGTAGCAACAGTGCTAAACTTTCTCCATTTGTAGACAGTCTGTCTTACCGTGGACACATGAACATCAAGGATTTTGGAGATACTTTTGTAACCCTTTCCAGCTCCATGCAACTCACAATTCTTGATCGTAGGTCTTCTGAGAGCTCTTTTCTGCGAGGCATGGTTCACATCAGACAGTGCTTCTTGAAACCAGTAAACCCAAAACAGGGCAGGACAGCTGTCAGCAACACATCCAATATCATCACACTGATTGGAGTCAAGGTTGGCTCACTCCTGGCTCCAGTTAGCTCTGGGAGAAGTCATTAAGCTAGGGCCTCACATACTTTTTCCTCCCTGCACTGTGAATGTTTACATGTTATGTGCAATTAAACCATGGCAATATCTAATGTTTGTGTAGTATTATGTTCAGCAGACTGTGTTCTTCTATTGTTGTGACTTAGATGACGTTCAGAGCACATTTTATGCCCAATTCATGCAAAAACTCCACGTAATCCCAAGGGGTTCACATACTTTTTCTTGCAACTGTATATATACGTGATTCTCACTCCTGTGGTTTTCACACCCCTCCCAGATAGCGTCAGATTTCCCATTAGTACACCAGTCATCACATTTAACCCCTCAAATTGCCAGGAAGACGCTCATACACAATAAACCTCCATTGTTAGTATAGTGTCAGAACAGATCAATATCTTTGATCAGATCAGCACTATACCAGCGTTCACATTAGTATAGCGTCCCCAAAAAACGCAGCATTAGCGGGATCAGCGCCGGCACCTGCGTTTAGCCCCTACGCTTAACCCCCCTTCTCCCCCAGCAAGTGCAGTGTCAGTAAGCCACTGTCACTTGATACATTGCACACAAAACCGCAGTGTTCGCAGAATCAGGCCTGATCTCTGTTAATACTTGCCGGTAAATTTTGATGACTCTCATATGCAGCAGAGTGCCAGTACTAGTGCCGCGCTACCTTTTGGTGAACTGGCGAGTACTAGTGGCCTAGTACATCCTGGTCTTTCACATACCTCTTAGATTGTAAGCTCCAAGGGGCAGGGCCCTCCTAACCCTATTGAACTGTATTGTCTCCCGTTATATTGTAAAGCGCTGAGCAAACTGTTGTTGCTATATAAATCCTGTATAATAATAATAATACCAGCTCTGCAGTATGACTTGGCGATGTGGCGAATCATGGGGAACGTGTATTTTGGTTGACTTGGCGACATGGCGAGTCATGGGGAACGTGTATTTTGGTGATGCCACAAATCTACTTCACAATATTAGTCCAGTATGTCTGAATAGGTGAACAGAGCCAAAATCTATGGAAGAAGGTGGACTTGGGGACCCCGCACCAAGGACACACATTTTATTTTAATGCATTCTCTGCATTAATGTAAAAAACCTTCCAATATCTTACCCTCTTCTTCCCCCTTACATACTTACCTAAGTCCTCTCATACTCCAGTTCTGTCCCCAGCTGCAGCAGTGCTGCACTCTCTTCCTGGATTCACAGTATAAACTGGGGGAAAGGGCTGTCAGGGTGTGGGGTGGGTGGGTGGCTGAGCCGTGCTATGTGTGTCTATGGACACACACAGCCAGGTCTAGGAGAGCGCTCGCATGGGTGCACCAATAGTATATGGCTTACTATGCAGGCACTGGCAAGAAGAAGGAGCGGAGAGTATGGGCAGTGGACTCCAGAAGAGGAGGTAAGGGTCCACTCTGTGCAATAATATTGCACGGAGCAGGTATGTATAACATAATTTTTTTATTTAAAAAAACAATGTTTAATATCACCTTAAGTTGGTTGTGCAATGGAGATTGCTAGTATTACTGTCTACTCAGCTGCAACACTGGATCCTACATGATCAAGAAATGGACAGCAGCAAGTGAGTGAGTTTCTTACATTTATTCTTGTGCAGCACTACCAGATACTTTTGTAATGGCTGCAGTGGTTACTCTGTTTCAACATCCAGAATATATTATTACATTAAGAGTGTTTATTTCTCAATGCTTTTGGGATGGTTAAGGCCTTTTATAGTATACATCTTTGTAAGGGCAGATTGAATTTTATTTACTAACATTTTTATACTTTGTTTTCCATTTAATCTTGCAAAAACCTGTATTTCTAAAATCAAAAAAAAATTAACAACCATGATTTTTTTTACAAAACAGTTTAATTGATACTATAAAATTACATTAACACATAATAAACATTAAAAAACAAACTACAAATACAAAAATCAGAAAAACCGGTATGGTCTTTTGTAATAAATTATATATTCCAGGAGGTTATTTCATAGATTAAAGCTTTAAGTTGTCTGGATTCATAAGTGATTGTGTTCTTCCCAATGTGCATTCTCTTCTCTTCCAGTGGTTGTTCGATTAAAGCTGTGATATTTTTACCATAAACTGAAAATACAAAAACATGAATATGAACAAATTACCAGCATGCAAGAAAGACAGTCTAGATTAATTGAGAATGTTCATATGCAAATGAAAATATAAGGGCAAGCTAAAACAACTCATTCACATGATTTGGAAAATAAAGCTAACATTTCTTACCATGTTAACCAAGAGGCCTTATGGTGAACATGTATTTAACCACTTGCCTACAGGGCACTTATACCCCCTTCCTGCCCAGGCCAATTTTCAGCTTTCAGAGCTGTTGCACTTTGAATGACAATTGCGCGTTCATGCAACACTGTACCCATATAAAATTTTTATAATTGTTTTGCGACAGAGCTTTCTTTTGATTTTTTGCTAAACAAAGAAAAAACTGAAAATTTTCAAAAAAAAAAAAGTTTCTTAGTTTCTGTTATAAAATTTTGTAAATAAGTGATTTTTCTCCTTCACTGATATGCGCTAATGAGGCTGCAGTGATGGGCACTGATAGGCTGCACTGATGGGCACTGAGGAGGCACTGGTAGGTGGCACTGATGGGCATTGACAGGCATCACTGATGGGCACTGAAAGGCAGAACTCATATATGGCACTGATAGGCGGCACTGACTGGCACTGAAAGGCGGCACTGGCTGGCACTGTTAGGTGGCACTGATAGGCGGCACTGACTGGCTCTGATAGGCGGCACTGATAGGCGGCACTGATAGGTGGCACTGAAAGGCAGTTCAGATGGGCACTGATATGTGGCATTGATGTGCACTGGTAGGCAGTGAAATGTGCATTGATGTGGCACTGGCAGGTGGCATTGATGGGCACTGACAGGTAAAAAACAGATGAGGCTACACTGATCATCAGTGCCCTGATGATCAGTGTAGATGTCTCTCTGAGTAATGCCGATTACCAGCTCTCCTCTGGAGCTGTCAGCATGACAGCTTGTGAGGAGAGAAATGCCGATAACCGGCATTTCCTTATTTACATATGATCAGCTGTGATTGGACACAGCTGATCACATGACAGAGCCGAAGTCATTGGCTCTTTCCGTCGATCGGTGATCTGCTGTGTCCCAGGGACACAGTGCGCCCCCCGGGGGCGTGCACGCGCATTTAGAGTGGGAGGACGTCATATGACGTCCTCCCAGAACGAGAGAACCACCTTGCGCCCCTCATTACCTTATATGGCGGGCGGGAGGCGGTTAATGAGCTAAGGCTGCAGAAGCACAAAACAACTCTGTGAACCCAAATGAACCTTCTGAATGTATTCCTGTAAAGCAGTCACACTGCATATACAGAAATACTGGTCTTCTTTATTTAATTGTTTACGTACTGTGTGTTGAAGCAAAGGTTAAAATACCCTGTTGTGTCAGCACGCTGGAGAATCAGCTCACTGTATTTCAAACACACAGTGGCCCAGGTCTCCAGCCGTCCTAAACACCCACTGTACAGCACTCCAATCATCATCGCTGCCAAGGCAGTATGAACATTTTTCGATTGAATGCTGTGTTTGGACCTCTGCATTGTGTGCGGAGCAATAGCCCAGCTCTCCAGCACGTTGCCAACACAGGGTATCTGAACCCTTACCACAGCACATAGTAAGTAAAAAAGGATGAGCATGCTTTTGAATATGCAATTTTTTTGAAAAGGCTCATGCCAATGGCCTGTGCGCAATGGCCTTGTGTGCATCAGCCAGGTTTTGCATTCCCATACAAATCTATTTGAATGCAAAACTTGCTTGAAGCAGGTCAAGTGGAGGTCAAATGCACCAGTGAGTGAATTATGAATAATTGCAGCAGCATTTCAAACTGATGTCATCAACACAATCCTAAAGCCCATAGACACAGGTTCTAAAGTGCGATGCAGGCCTTTAGCTAAAAAACTGGAATTGCTGGTAACTGGATTGTGACACCATTCTTCTTTTTGATTTCAAAATAAGGTCTGCCAAGCAACATCTAAATCTGTCTCTCATCCAGGGTTCTTTGGAACGCTAGGGTTCCTCCTGAGGTTGCTAAGGGTTCCTTGAGCAATGAGCAATCTCTGTCTCTTAGACAAGCAACCACTGACACCAACTGTCTTTTTTTGGCTACCTGTAAGATGTGATTTTTTTCACACTGACCACCAATGCAAGGATCACTGTTCCCACTGATCATCAGTGTAAAAGGCCCTTGATCCAGTGACCACCATCTCAAGTGGGCCATTCTCCACTGACCACAAATGTAAGAGAGCATTTGAGTGACTGCTAATGTAAGGGTGGTACAATGACCACTAACAAGAGGGGGCAGTTGTCCACCAACGATCGATGATCAATGTGCACTTTGTGCTTAATTTCTGGACGTTATTTTTTTTCATTTCATTGTTATTACTGAAAACAAGTTTTTTTTTTTTTTTCTTCAGTGCCAGGGTTACTGTTTGGGTCAAGGTTAGGGTCTAAAGGTCAGGATTATTTATTTTTTTATTGGTATCACTGTCAGTGTGTTTTAGGTATAAAAAAAAAAACCCCCAAAATGTGCACTATTGTTTCTGGGCTGTACTACGGGCACAAACAACAAATAACATACACATATATGTTATCACTGCGATTGTCAAGAGCTGGAAAATGTATTTTGAGTTGTTCTTTGGTGGTAGGTTATGGTATTAAGAAACACACAGCTAAATTAAAAATAAATTTTTTTTTTTACTATTTTGGGCCAGTTTTCCTTTGATAATAAAAAAAATCAGGAGATATCTATTACCATTTACCACCAAGTAAAAGCCCAATTTGTCCTGAAAAAAACAAGGTATAATCCACCTGGATGCACAAAGTAGTTGTGATGATATGTACGGTTTTACTAACACATGTCAATCTTGCAAAATTGTGCTTAGGCATAAATATTTTGTTTTACCCTTAGGCGTGAAGGGGGTTAAAAAAACAAAAATTGATAAACGCTGATCTAAATGGTTGAAATACATATTTATGAACTTTTAAAGGATTTTTAATACTCTGTTGGCCTGGCATGTAATGTAGGAACACTGAATCCAGATCAGTGATCTCACTTTTTTTCACAGCAGTAAAGCAATACAGTTTTGTCACCAACCCAAATACAGCGTGTTGGCTGGGCAATAGAGGAGCAGCAGCAGCATACTGATGAACTCACCACTCTCTTTCTGCTACTGATACAAGATTTGAGTTGTTTAACTTGCATCACTGGGAAATGCAGACAGTCCTGAATGAGTCCTGTTCATGTGTCTTTTACTCATAGTTCTGTAATGCAGGTCTATTGTAGAAAGCTAATAGGTCCTTGAACTAGTATTGAAGGATTGAATACATCAAATTTTTTTTTTAATTGATTGTATATGCAGTAGTCGTACATCTGCCTAGAGTTCATCTTTAAAGTATAGTATTTCAAGCCACGCATAGTCATATAATTGCCTGGAAACTTACTTTCACAGTGTTCCAGAAACTGAATACACTCATAGATGACGCTGTCCGGGAGCATGATCATGTGCTTTGCCATATTTTCTAGCAAGGAGAGGAAACATCGCTTTGCATAATACCATGTGTCTGTTCCAAGCTGCAAAAAAAATTGATTAAATTACAATCTCTACCAGTCACACACACATCTGGGCTAGCTTTAGTGGAATATGAGAACCCTATCAGTATGGTTTTGGATCGTGAAAACAAAACTGAAGCTTTTGAAAAAAAATCCTTGAAAAAAAATTAACATCGGCTTTAAGGAAACCTGAATGTAGAATACAGGGGGCTCTCATTACAAAATTTTCCTTCTGAAAATGCTAGTTGCTTGGCAATGTATTTGCCTGTTAAGTACAGTGAAGCTCCCAACTGCTGCAAAAGATGCAGTGCATGCAGGAAGTCCAAGAGCTTTTTAAGCCCAGTCTTGCCCATCGAAAAATGTAGAATATGGTAGATAACTAAATGTGTGGCTTCATAACATTCATTTATGATTTATTTTTCTGTAATTAAAAGTAGAGTTTTCAAATGTGTACAGAAAGCTTACAGGAAGTTTGTACTGAGATATGTATCTTCTATGGCACTTATCTGAAAGAGATCAGAAGTTCTCACTTTTTTTTCACTTTAATTTCACTAGCTGCAAGCTTGCTCTGGGTCAGCGACTCAAGAATTACTGAAGCTTAAGATAGTTAGAACACCAGAATCTTCAAAAGAAGTTTAGCAATGGTAGCCTCCATAGTTATCTCAGTACAGACTTCCTGTAAGCTTTCTGTCCACATTTGAAAACTCTACTTTTAATTACAGAAAAATAAATCATAAATGAATGGTATGAAGCCAAGCATTTAGTTATGTGGTTAGCACGTCTGCCTTGCAGTAAATGGGTCATGGGTTCGATTCCCAACCATGGCGCCTCCTGCATGGAGTTTGCATGTTCTCCCTGTGCTTGCGTGGGTTTCCTCCGGGTGCTCCGGTTTCCTCCCACACTCCAAAGACATGCTGGTAGGTTAATTGTATCCTGTCTAAATTGGCCCCAGTATGTGGATGTATAAATGTAAGTTAGGGACTTTAGATTGTACACCCCTTGAGGGTTAGGGACTGATGTGAATGTTCAATATACAGTCAGGTCCATAAATATTGGGACATCGGTATAATTCTAACATTTTTGGCTCTATACACCACCACAATGGATTTGAAATGAAACAAATAAGATGTGCTTTAACTGCAGACTGTCAGCTTTAATTTGAGGGTATTTACATCCAAATCAGGTGAACGGTATAGGAATTACAACAGTTTGCATATGTGCCCCCCACTTGTTAAGGGACCAAAAGTAATGGGACAATTGGCTTCTCAGCTGTTCCATGGCCAGGTGTGTGGTTATTCAATTATTATCCCAATTACAATAAGCAGATAAAAGGTCCAGAGTTCATTTCAAGTGTGCTATTTGCATTTGGAATCTGTTGCTGTCAACTCTCAAGATGAGATACAAAGAGCTGTCACTATCAGTGAAGCAAGCCATCATTAGGCTGAAAAAACAAAACAAACCCATAAGAGAGATAGCAAAAACATTAGGCGTGGTCAAAACAACTGTTTGGAACATTCTTAAAAGAAGGAACGCACTGGTGAGCTCAGCAACACCAAAAGACCTGGAAGACCACGGAAAACAACTGTGGTGGATGACTGAAAAATTCTTTCCCTGGTGAAGAAAACACCCTTCACAGCAGTTGGCCAGATCAAGAACACTCTCCAGGAGGTAGGTGTATGTGTGTCAAAGTCAACAATCAAGAGAAGACTTCACCAGAGTGAATACAGAGGGTTCACCACAAGATGTAAACCATTGGTGAGCCTCAAAAACAGGAAAGCCAGATTAGAGTTTGCCAAACGACATCTAAAAAAGCCTTCACAGTTCTGGAACAACATCCTATGGACAGATGAGACCAAGATCAACTTGTACCAGAGTGATGGGAAGAGAAGAGTATGGAGAAGGAAAGGAACTGCTCATGATCCTAAGCATACCACCTCATCAGTGAAGCATGGTGGTGGTAGTGTCATGGCGTGGGCATGTATGGCTGCCAATGGAACTGGTTCTCTTGTATTTATCGATGATGTGACTGCTGACAAAAGCAGCAGGATGAATTCTGAAGTGTTTTGGGCAATATTATCTGCTCATATTCAGCCAAATGCTTCAGAACTCATTGGACGCGGCTTCACAGTGCAGATGGACAATGACCTAAAGCATACTGCAAAGCAATCAGAGTTTTTTAAGGGAAAGAAGTGGAATGTTATGCAATGGCCAAGTCAATCACCTGACCTGAATCTGATTGAGCATGCATTTCACTTGCTGCAGACAAAACAGAAGGGAAAATGTCCCAAGAACAAGCAGGAACTGAAGACAGTTGCAGTAGAGGCCTGGCAGAGCATCACCAGGGATGAAACCCAGCGTCTGGTGATGTCTATGCATTCCAGACTTCTGGCTGTAATTGACTGCAAAGGATTTGCAATCAAGTATTAAAAAGTGAACGTTTGATTTATGATTATTATTCTGTCCCATTACTTTTGGTCCCTTAGCAAGTGGGAGGCACATATGCAAACTGTTGTAATTCCTACACCGTTCACCTGATTTGGATGTAAATACCCTCAAATTAAAGCTGACAGTCTGCAGTAAAAGCACATCTTGTTCGTTTCATTTCAAATCCATTGTGGTGGTGTATAGAGCCAAAAATGTTAGAATTGTGTCAATGTCCCAATATTTATGGACCTGACTGTATATGCGTAAAGCGCTGCGTAAATTGACTGCGCTATATAAGTACCTGAAATAAATTTAAAAAAAAATAAAAAATCTACCATATTTTACAAGTTTTGTTGGCCAAGACTGGGCTTAAAAAGCTCTTGGACTTCCTGCATGCACTGCATCTTCTGTAGCAGTTGGGAGCTTCAGCCAATACGTCCAAATTCGTGCAATCTCCAGTAGTTTTCCACAAAATAGCTCTTCAGTGATGACAATTGTACAAATACTACTGACCTGATATTATACTGCCGCACACTGGCACTAGATTTCAATTTATTTAAGCATTCTATAAGCAAGTATTTGACATTTTGCACAATAGATCACTTTGACTTAACTGGCCACTCCAAAGACATGCTGGTAGGTGAATTGGCCCTAGTATGTGTATTTATGAATGTAAGTTAGGGACCTTAGATTGTCGCCCCTTGAGGGTTAGGGACTGATGTGAATGTACAATATATATGTAAAGTGCTGCGTAAATTGATGGCGCTATATAAGTACCTGAAATAAATAAATACTATCCATGATTGAACAGTGGTAGTAGCAAACATCCCCCATCAACAGCAATGCCAAAAATCTATATAAATACCTGAAATAAATAAATAACTTGCCAGCTTGAACATTTTCTGTTTTGCAATATACAGTATGTGAACCAAGAATCCCTGTTTTTTCTTTTTTTTTTTGCAAGTTTGGTAAAAGTATGTAAAAGGTGTATAGCAGTGTACAAAGGGTCAATTCAGTATCTTCAAATGGTCACATGCCTTTAGCCCCTAATATGTTTTATATACACAGTATATAAGCTATTTCGGTGTGAGCTCAAACATCTCTATTTCCAATTTACTAGTATTATACCTATCTCATACTTGCCTTTTTATTGTATGGTTCAAGGCTTTTGATAACTCTAGAAATACCAAACTCATAGTTTCCTTTAGCACAATAAAGAGTCCTGTTAAAAAGCAGAAAACATTGAATATTTAATAAAAGTATCAGTAAGAATGAACCATACACAGACATTTTTTTTTCTCACTCAGATGGTGGGGTAAACAAAAAAAAATAATCTATTTCCTTCCTCCATATTATACAGTGCAGATGGACGAATCTCCCTTTGCAGCAATTGTATTTTGACAGCCAGCCCACTAACTGTCAAAATACCAGAAAAATCAGAATGGATACAGCCGCTGTTTGGTCAACAAATTTCTATTGAATATAATATGGGTTTATGAGATTTGGAAATCATTGCATCGGGCATTACAGTGGCTAAGTGGTTAGTACTCCTGCCTAGCAGCACTAGGGTTGTTGGTTTGAATCCCAACCACAACACTACCCGCCTGGAGTTTGCATGTACTCCCTGTGGCTGTGTGGGTTTCCTCCGGGTACTCTGGTTTCCTCTCACACTCCCAAGACATGCTGATAGGTAATTGGCTCCCGTCTAAATTGGCCCTAGTATGTGAATGTATGAATGTGAGTTAGGGACCTTAGATTGTAAACTCCTTAGCCTCCATAGCGGTCTGATTATGTCAATATTTCTGTGCTCAAAGTGGTAATTTTTTTCCATGGAAATATGTTGTTTTTTTATTGTATGCCTGTAATTCTTAGGAATAACTTACTGAAATATGTCTGAAAAGGAGTCTAGTAAACATTCCGGGTATGATAAAATTTGAAACCCGAAATCATAAATTATAATATAATAAATAATCATAAAAAAATAATAATACATTTAATTCAATAATCTAAATCAAACCAAAAACACTAAAATTTGAAATAGAGCGCCAAGTTCGCACATCACTGAGCTCGGTCGCAGAATCGTTTTCAGTGTCTAATAACGAATTTCCCCACGAATCATTATCACTCAATTCTGAAAGTAGTTCTAATTTACTATCACTGTTTTCTAGCTGATCTAAAACCGCTTTTGACCTAAAAGGATGCTTTTTGATGCCATGGACATTTCTCAGTTTCAGAAAGAACAGTAAAAATGCAGGCAGGGCACAGGACAAAGCAGTAGGTTCAAAATGTATGTGAAATGCTTTGATACAGTAATGTAATACTATAAGATTTTAGTGTATTGAGTGAATGTCACATTTTTAAATTTATGAACTCTCCGCCGGTTCTGTCCCCTGTACGTCCCGACACTCGCTGAAAACGGAACCCGGAAGACAGATGCCGGCATCAGTTGGAGGAGATGGCCGGGGACGCTGCAGGGGGGACATCGCGGGGAGCGCAGGACAAGGTAAGTGATCGAGGGATCGTGGAGCAACGCTGCAGGGTAATTCCAAGTGTAGCTCAGGGTTACCGCTTGTGGTACTGAAAGTTAGCCCCGAGCTACACTCGGGAATACCGCCAGGGGTGTTACAGGCAAGGACTGATGTAAATGTACAATATACATGTAAAGTGCTGCATAAATTGTCAGCGTTATATAAGTACCTACTGTAATAATTGCATTGTTGTTATGTAGGTTTTGCACAGCGTCCAGGGGCGGACTGACCATATGGAAACTCGGGCACTGCCCAAGGGCCCGGAGTCAGTAGGGGGCCCCATAAAATGCCCCTGGTACCTTTTTCATAGGCTTTTTTGAGTTTGGGCAAGGACACAGGGGCCCCATGATCCCCTATTGCCCAGGGGCCCCATGAGTTGTCAGTCCGCCCCTGACAGTGTCCCAACTTTTTTGGAATTGGGGTTGTAGTATAATTTTACTGTGTACGCTTATTGAGCCGCTATATTTGAAACACTTATTTGACTGTAATTTTTTTGTAACTTTCACATTTTATATGAATACCACTCTGTACTTAATTGCATATTCCCTTTTTATTGACTATATGCAAAAAAAGCACTAAAGTCAGTAAACCATGCTAAATGGCTGCTGAAATGAGACAATAGAGAGTTTGCTGTCTACAATTAGAGCAGACTGAAAAGCTTGCTCTAGGAAATGAATATTTATTTACAAGTCAATGCAAAAGAGGATCTGAACTCAAAAAGTGAAGATTTGCTATGTTAAAGGGGACATCTAATTTTGGTAATTGTGCCTAGGCAGTACCCTGAAAAGTTACATTTTGTCTTGAATTCCTCCTATGAAATAGCTGTGCACTTCCTGGTATCTGAGGGTGCCTAGGTATTTATGTGGGTATATCATCGTAGCTGTATGTATGTAGTTTGAAAGGCACTGCTTTTTTTTGCTGCTCGTCTTTGGATATTTAGAGTGCGGTTTGGGGATGTAGCTACTATGTTGCCCACTAGTTTCTTTGCTGGAGGCTCTGACATGAGGGTGAAAAGTCCTGCCTCTACTGAGATGGACACACCTCAACAAAGAGATACAGTGCAGAACAAGGCATGGTAAGTCAGTAATAGGAAAATGATCAGCTGCAAAGTGGTCACTAGCAATACTGATGACTTGTCCTTTGTCCTCTGCTTGCCTTTTTTTTTTAATTATTAAGGCACAGCTTCCACGGTTCCATTCCTGTTTAACCTCCCTGACGGTCTAACTAATCAATATTTTTGAATGTCAAAGTAGTACATTGTTTTGCATGGAAATTTGTTGTTTTATATTGTAGGCCTGTAATTCTTAGGAATAACTCACTTAAATCTGTCCAAACAAGAGTCTAGTAAACATCCCGGGTATGATAAAGTTTGAAACATGAAATCATAAATTATAATATAATAAATAATTATAAAAAATATATAATAATAATAAGAAATTGAATTCAATAATGTAATCAAACCAAAAAAACACTGAAATTTGAAATAGAGCGCCAAGTTCACACATCACTGAGTTCAGTTGCAGAATCGTGGTTAGTGTCTGATGACGAATTTCCCCACGAATCATTATCGTTCAATTCTGCAAGTGATTCTAATTCACTATCGCTGTTTTCTAGCTGGTCTAAAACCGCTTTTGACCAAAAGGGATGCTTTTTGGATGCCATGGACGTTCTCAAGTTTCCAGGCAGAAAGAACGGTAAGAGTGCAAGCAGGGCACAGGACAAAGCACTAGGGACAAAATTTAGGTGAAATGGTTTGATACAGTAATGTAATCCTAACAGATTACAATGTATTGTGTGTATGTCATATTTTAACTTTTTTGAATCTCCTGCCGGTTCCGCCCCCTGCGTACCAACGCTCGCAGGCAACGGAACCTGGAAGATGGATGCCGGCATTGGCTGGAGGACACAGCAGGAGGACATTGCGGGATTGCAGGACAAGGTATGGATCGGGGGATAGCAGGAGAGAGACTATAGAGTAATCTCGAGTGTGGCTCGGGGTTACCTCTTTTGGTACTGTAAATTAACCCCGATTCACACTCGGGTACCGCTAGGAAGGTTAAAAATGCAGACGCTGCAAAAGGGCATGACTGGATTGAAGGATGGAGGGGGGGGGGCTCATAATAGCTTGAGGATCATATATATATATCACTTCAAGACATTGGGAATCATTTAAAGGGTTCAGAAGCCCTTTTAGAACTTGAAAAAAAATGCTACCAGGAGTTGAGTATACAACCTCATATTTTACGGTTTTTCTTCAAGAAAAAAGACTTACCCAATAACCAGGTTAACTATGCAGAGATGGTAGATTTTCTTATCGGGGTAATCATAAGCAATCTGTTCCTCTTCTTTTTCAATTTTTCTCATTAATTCTTCAGCCTAACAAGGATAAATGTATAAGAATGTTTAAAAACTTAGTGATGAAGATAGGAACCTTAAAGTGGTTGTAAAGGCTCAAGGTTTGTTATCTTCATGCAATCTATGATCATGCAATATCAGGTTACTGCAGACCAGTGTTTCTCAACCTTTTTTTCAGTCAAGGCACCCTTTAAAATTATGGACAGTCCCGAGGCAGGCACCCTTTAAAATTATGGACAGTCCCGAGGTACCCTTTAAAATTATGGACAGTCCCGAGGCACCCTTTAAAATTATGGACAGTCCCGAGGCACCCTTTAAAATTATGGACAGTCTTGAGGCACCTCATTCTAAAATGTGAAAAACTAGTCTAATAGTTTTTATATAACGCAGCAACATCCACACATGTAGGACACGCAACATTAGAGGTGATTTACTTGTCCAAAGCAAATAAACTCTTGCACACTAGTACTGACTAGTTTCTCTTCTCCCTCAGTTTTTCTACATCACTGAGCTAATGTGACCCCAGCACTGATACAGGCAGCTGACATCCTCTTTAACTGATGATGTCATTGGTTGTCAGGACGCTGGCAGCTAGAAGGTAGTAATGGTGCACAATGAACACCTATGGCTTTGTGTAACTAAAGGCAGACTTTTCCCACCCGTTGGCTTGTATACAATTTTTGGGCAATTTTAAGACATTTTGCCAAGGCTTTCCAGAAGAAAACTTAAGGCACCCTGGTTGAGAGAGGCTGCTGCAGACACTTGCAACAGCCTACTGCCTGCACCTCTCTACGGGCTTTCTGTTAAAAAGCTGTAAGAAGTGTTACCGTGGTGACAGACAGAACTTGTAGTTCTCTCATTCACAGATTCCCATAAATGAATGATGGTTGTGTGGACACAGCCCTGCAAATCCATGCTGTTTTTGAAATCTGACAGTTGGAGTGGGGAGAAGATCCCCCGCTGGCTGTCGCAAGGGAATAAATCAGGGGGGTGCAAGGACAGGTGCTGGAACAATCTCAATCTGCTTCCTCTCTGTTCTTTTTTCTCCACAGCTCATCTCCTCAACACTGCCCGCCCATTAGCTTGTGTGGCGCCAGCATCATGTGTTTTCATGACACCGGCGACCTGCCTCCTCCTTGTCCTGCACAGCACCGACGTCATGGGTTTCCATGATAACGGCAGCCGGTACAGGAATGACTGAGCTCAGTAGTAAACTCGCATGGCGCATGCGCAGTGTCATGGTGATGCATGTCTCCTGTGCATGCGCCATGTACATGTGCATCACCATGACACTGTCGGCTGCTGCGCCAATAGGACCACTGTAGGTGTGTCCACATTGCAGCTCACTTGCAGACCCCCCCCCCCCCCCCACATCTCTAGGCAACCGCTTTTAGCTTCTGTCAGAGACACTTATGCTGCTGATCGTTGTTTGCATAATGCAGCGCTGCTTTCAGCTGACACTATTACAATCCGGGGAGTACTATGATACACAATGCTTATATCCCTGGAAATGCGTTTATGCACATCTGATTATTGTTTTATGGTTTATTTTTGCAGTTTGTAATGTTTCTGTTTATATTGATTGTAATACGTTTTTGGAGGAAACATGATATCATGGGCCGGGGACGGGCTCATTTTACTTCACTCTGATTGGTGGTAAATAGTTTTTCCAGTTTCTGTCACAATTTGTCACGTCTGATGAAGGGGTCCTGTGCAACTCCGAAACGTTGCCTTGCTGTAACTATGTGATCGTTCATTAAAACTTTTGGCCACATATTGGTGATCCTCGGTGTGCTGGTGACATTCTCGCTTGCGGATTCTGTTCAGCTCCAGCCGGTGGTCACAGCAGCAGCGCCCACTTATACACGCAGCCATTTTTAACACAGGAACGTGTGCGTTTGGATTGTACACTTGCATTAGGTGCTGGAGATTGTCACATGTTAGCCCCTTATATGGGCATAATGTGTAACATGCTTCAGGTGAATGTAGCCTTTAAAAAAATTATAATAATCATAACAAAAGCATACCAGATCATTTTGACTTGTCATAATGTAGGAAACACACAGATTTGCAAGAACAATTGCACTGACATTTAGGATCTGAAAAAAAGACAAAAATAAGGATGTTTAATCAGAACTTACGATACATTTTATTATGAAACCATACGTGTATACAAGTTATCATTTGGACAGGAACAATGAATGTGCTATTACATGAAGGCCACTGACAAAGCTTGTGTTTCATCTTAAAATAAGTAATACACTAAAAACAGTACAAACTATATACAATACAACACTGTATTATAGATTACAAAATCGATTGATTTGAATATCATACATGTATGAAGACAAAGCCAAGATTTATGTTTCTAGTCCCTCCTAAAGGTCAACAATTTGGATGGCAATAAGAGTCTTGATATTTTATCTCAACAGATGTTATGAGATATTGCATTGAACCTCTGAGAACTCCCTCCATTGGCTAACACACAGCTCTCTATTTTTACCAATAACACAAATCTGAAAAAATTGTCTTGTAAAATTATTGCTTATGGCCAGTTCACACCAGAACATGGTGATGGAAAGCTGCATTCCGTCCGCGTTTCCCGCACCACATTCAAAACTTTGGGTGTCAATATTAAGTTAACAACATGCCAAACACAGGTCACAACAGCAGTGTGTTTGCCCACACCAGATCGCATGGTATAGAAGTACCATGCGAGTTTCCAAAAGTAGTGAATGCACTACTTTTAGTGCAGTGCAATTTCAGCCTATCCAATTGCAAATCGCATGTAAATCGCACAGGAACGCATGGTGTGTTCATGTGCGATTCCCAATATAACCTGTTCCTAGAAGGTAGTGAGTGCCATTTAAAGGTTCATAAGCTAAGAAACCCAACCCAGTTAAGTAAAATATAGCAGATGCATTACTGCTCAACATAAAGCATTTTCTAGGTAATTGTAATGAATTTCTGTTCTTACTGAATCAGTTAACCACTTCCCATCTGGCCCATGTACATAAACAGCAGGACGGGAGCAGTGCAGGGGCGGGTTGCAGTTTATAAACGGCGCCCGCATTTACAGCCTGTGCACACTTCCAGAGAGTGCGCGGCACTGCGATCAGGTGCCCCCTGTGTCCGGAGGACATAGCAGAACGCCGATTTCTGTAGGGGACCTCTGTGTGAGGTCCCGATTCATGTTGATCACTGATTGGCCAATCAGTGATCACATAAATAGTTGTAAGCAAGATGTCACTTCTGACATTGCTTACTACGTGTGAAATCTGTGAATGATCACAGAGGTCACATGGTACACGGCTATTCACAACAGCCTTGTACCTTGTGACAAGCTGTGACCAATCACAGCTCTCACAGTATTTCTCAATGGCCGCAAGAATGCAGTCAGAGAGAAGGAGAAAGGATTACTTTTACAGCCTTTATGGGTGTAAAAGCAATCAGTGTTAAAAAAAAAAAAAAAAAAATCTTCATCACCACCCACAAGTAGTACACTGTCAATATGGTGACACTGTACTGCTAGGGTGACAGTATGTTAACAAAACCCCCCCCCCCCCCCCCCCAAAAAAAAAAATAAAAATAATATAAAAAAAAAAACATGTAAAGAAAAAAAATAGAAAAATTATAATTTTTGGTTATAAACTAATTTGGGTTTTTTTTTTTTTTTTTAAATAAAAAGATAACTGAATAAATTGTGGCCAAGATTTAAGAAGAAAGATTATTTATTTGAAAAATCTTATAAGAAAAACACTTTTTTACAAAATTTTTGACTTTTTCATTTACATAGCAAAAAAAAAAAATTTAAATCCCAGTGGTGAATAAATACCACCAAAATAAAGTTTTATCTGTCTCAAATAAATGCCAAAAGATTCATATGGGTACAGTGTTGCATGACTGCACAATTGTCATTCAAAGTGTGATAGCACTGAAAGCTGAAAATTGGCCTTAACAGGAAGGGGGTGAAAGTATCCAGACTTGAAGTGGTTAAAGAGATGATTTTTGATAATGGACATTGAAGGAGTACAAAGTTCTCACCCAATGTGACTGGATGGTGCTCATAGTATCTGACCAAGGTCACTGTGCACCATTTATATGTGTGCAATAGCAATAATTTTGTTCTCTTTCCATATGCATAATTCTATGTTCAATTAAAGAACTTTTATGGGGAATGTATGGTTTTGTAATTAAATTTATTATAGTCAGGTCTAAAAATAATTTTTATTATATATATTTTCCCATTTTTGCTTGGGTAAAAATGAAATATTATGTACCTTTACCCTAGGTTCATACTTATGTGGATTTCAGTGCATTTTCCAGCTTGCAGAAATGCACTACAGTCCACTTAACATGATTTCCTATTTCTAGTTAACATCTGTGCATTTTGAGCTGATCATTTTTGGGTAAGGGTTAGGGACTTTTTCACACAGCAGATTGTGTTTTGTGTGTACTAGACTTCAATGGACCCGTACCAAAAACGCAAGTGTTGCGTTTTTTTTTTTCCCAATAGGAAAGTACTGACTTTGAAGGGACTTTGGATGCGTGCGACTTTGGGTGGGGGAGATTTGATGCAACTTTACACTCTCTGGCACTCAAGTCACACCAAAGTTGCACTACATGAACAGAACTGTTATACTTTCCTATCAGCACCTCCTCGGAAAAAAAAAAAAAAAAAGAAAAGCTGCACGAAAGTCGCATCAAAGAAACATCAAAGTTGCACCCATCCAAAGCCGCATAAAAGTCACATCAAAGTTGCATGCATCCAAAGTCGCATCAAATTCAATCAACCCCCCCCCCCCCCCAAAAAAAAAGCATCAAAAACGCATGTTCAAAAATGCAAAATTAACTGTGAAATCACACAATCCGCAATCTGCATAGATTTGAACCTATCCTTAGCCCTCATTCACACTGATGCGACTTGCCATGCGATTTGACAGTTCAAACTGCATGACAGTCACACCCAATAGTCAGCAATGGAAACGTTCAGTGTGAACCAGGGCTTAGGCTCCTTTTTTCACGTTTTCCAGTTTTTCCTTGCCTACTGCTATACAAATCCCGCTGTTCAAATTCAGACATGTGGCAGACTTTGCCTCCCCTCTCAAAAGAGATCCACAGTGTTACATTTAAGAGGTGCTTCACAGGTGGTGAGAAGACGATATGTCACCTCCTCACTGGCGGTTTTGACCTTGGAAATGGTCCATTACTAAATTACACACATCTGTGGTGCGGTCCCATTACTTGAATGATTTTAATTTTTACAGCAGCTGTGAAGCAAAGCATTGCAGCTGTGGCATTGTGTACAGCTCTGTCCAGCTCATGCATGCTCGCCCCCGAGCCAGCTCTGTGTATCTATGGGACACAGAGTGTGGCTCAGTCCCATCCCTGCTCCTTCCTCACTGGCTGCAATTGACTGCACAGGGGCCACTGTTGCATCTCAACCAATGAGGAGAGAGTGACCCAGGAGAGCCAGGGCTCCTGTGTGAAGTGCTGGATGAAGTTCGGGCTCAGGTAAGTACTTGGAGGGGCTGCATGGGGGGAGCAGCACACTGAACGTTTTAAACCTTCATGCAAAGAATGCATGAAGGTTAAAAAAACCTTCAGCCTTTACAACCACTTTAAGGGGAGGCAGTAGAAACATGTCTCAACAGCGTTTGCCACCCACAACTGCAAGTAGCATTGAGCCATAATGGAGCTCAGTAGCTATTTTTATAAGTGAGTATGTCAGACCAGCGACACAATCCCTCTCTTTCCTTCTGTACAGCTCTGTGAAAATTCATAGTGTTATGTTTATTTGTTACATGGTTACATAGTTAGTCTGGCTGAAAAAAGACAAAAGTCCATCCATTTCAACCATAGAAAAAAAAAAAAAAATACATCCTATACCCACAGTTGATCCAGAGGAGGGCAAACAAAACCCTAAACAAAGCATGATCCAATTTGCTCCTGCTGGGAAAAAAAATCCTTCCTGATCCCCCGGGAGGCAATCAGATATTCCCTGGATCAACTTTACCTATAAATGTTAGTATCCAGTTCCAGTTCTGTGCATCCAAGAAAGAATCCAGGCCTTTTTTTTAAAGCAATCCACTGAGCTGGCCAGAACCAACTCTTGAGGGAGTTGATTCCACATATTCATAGCTCTCACTGTGAAGAAACCTTTCAGTGTTTGGAGATTAAATTTGTAAAACAAAGATATATATTATATATATATATATATATATATATATATATATATATATATATATATAAAAATATATACACACACACATACAATGAAGGAAATAAGTATTTGATCCCCTGCTGATTTTGGATGTTTGCACACTCACAAAGAAATGATCAGTCTAAAAATTGAATGGTAGGTGTAGTGTATCACAGAGACAGAATAGCAACAAAAAATTCAAAAGAAATGCATGTCTAGCAAATTATGCACTGATTTGCATGTTCATGAGGGAAATAAGTATTTGATCCGCTATCATTCTGCAGGATTTTTGGCTACCAGGTGTCTTTCATAGAGGGAACAAGCAGAGATTAGAAGCAGTCTCTTAAAGGGAGAGAGGTAAAACACCTTTAGCCTTTAGAACCGCTTTAAGGTTTGTATGTTTAATACTATGGCCTAGTACACACAAGCTTCAGCTTTTATAAGAGCTGTATGCACAGAAACTTTTACAAACCATTTACAAAGCTTTCAGTATGCTTCTCTGATGCCTTTAACCGCTTCCTGTCTGGACACTTTTACCCCCTTCCTGTCCAGGGTAATTTTCAGCTTTCAGCGCTATCACACTTTGAATGACAATTGCGCGGTCATGCAACACTGTACCCATATGAATTTTTTACCATTATTTTGGGACAGATAAAGCTTTATTTTGGTGGTATTTATTAATCGCTGGGATTTTATTTTTTTTTTTTGCTATGTAAATGAAAAAGTCCAAAAATTTTGAAAGTGTTTTTCTTAAGAAATTTGCAAATAAATAATATTTCATCATAAATCTTGGCCAAAATGTATTCCGTTTATCTTTTTAGTAAAAAAAAAAAAAATACACCAAATTAGTTTATAACCAAAAATGATAATTTTTAAACATTTTTTTACATTTTCATTTTATTTTTTATATAATATTATTTTTTTTTTTTTTTACATACTGTCACCCTAGCAGTACAGTGTCACCATAGTGACACTATACTACTTGTGGGGGGTGATGAAGATTTTTTTTTTTTTTACAGTGATTGCTTTTACACCCATATAGGATGTAAAAGCAATCATTTCTCTTTCTCTCTGTCTGCATTCTTGCAGCCATTGAGAAATACTGTGAGAGCTGTGATTGGTCAGAGCTTGTCACATGGTACAAAGCTGTTGTGAATAGCCTTGTACCATGTGACCTCTGTGATCATTCACAGATTTCACACGTAGTAAGCAATGATGTCACAAGTGTTATCTTGCTTACTACTTTGCATGTGATCACTGATTGGCCAATCAGTGATCACATGATCGGGACCTCGTACAGAGGTCCCGTCCGACGATCGGTGTTTCACTGTGTCCGTTATTATTTTAGTAATAACAAAGGAGTGGTGCTCATGAGACCAAATGCAACAGCCTTAGAAGTGCAGCATAGATAAGGCAAGAGAATAAACTGTGAAAAACTGAATTACTATACCTTCCATCCTATGAAAAAAATGCATATTATCTATACAGCAACATGGTCATTAGACAAGTCCACTATGAGAGCCATTTAAACAGATAAATGTCAGGCTGTGATAGGCAAAGTGCATACTTGCAGGTCTGAGAAAGAACAACACACTGTACAGAGGCAAGCACTCTGAAAAGCCATGCAACCAAAGCAATGGAGAAAATATTAAAACAAAAACGGACAAACGCTCAGTTTACCGAAACTTTTCTCTTGCAAGGACATTCTTCAATGTTACACTGTCCCAGCTGAGGTGCACAGGAGAAAAATTATGCAAAGATGATGCATATGCTTCAGTAAACAGTAATAGAAAGAGAGCATTTGCCAAAGGTTGATTTAAGCAACTGATCAATCTCCAAATATATTGTAAGAATTCAATCTGATCTTCAATCGTTTGGTTTAATGTAATGGTTGAAAGTAATGAAAGAAGACAGTAAAATGCTAATGAATCAGAGCAGAACTTGTGTAACCTTTTGAAAATTATTTTTAAACCTGAGCAGAAACAATCTTAAAATGGAACTTCAGGCCAACAGCAAACATATGAACCTACCAAAGAACTGTATTGTGTGCATTCATCCTTTAGATCAGGGGTCTCCAAACTTTTCAAACAAAGGGCTGGTTTATTGTCCTTCACACTTTAGGAGGGCAGGATTGTGACCAGTAGAGAATGTCCCAGGCCCAGCATCAGTGAAAATTAAACATGGGCTACTATTCCTCCTATTAATACCCATCATTGGTATTCATGGGTGGAATAATGCGCCATCATTGGTATCAGTGTAAGAAATAGTGTCCCTTTGTTGGTGTCAGAGGAAGGAGTAGTACCTCATATCATTGGGAGGAATAGTGCCCGAAGGGCCGGTTAAATGCTAGCAAAGGGCCACATCCGGCCCTCGGGCCGCAGTTTGGAGACCCCTGCTTTAGATCTACATAGTCCTGCCACACATCAAAGCCAGCATAGAGCCCTCCTACTAGGTCTTGTCCCCACCCGAAGCCTTTTATGGGACGGTAAAAGGAGAAGCAGCAGACTGATCTGCTCACTCTGCTTTCTCCACATCAGCATGTTCCTTGTTACCACGTGATCACTGCAGAACAAATAATTAGCTACTTGTGCCACCTTTCCCTCTCCCAATCTGAGCTCTGCTGTACAGGGAAATGCCAGAGGCTGACATCAGTCAAATTACAGCACGTACACTAACTGCTCTTATAATTACACCTAATTATTTTAATGAACACATACCTGCATGATTTGGTGTTCTATTTGCTTGGGATTGAGCTTTAACCACTAGCCTACTGGGCACTTATACCCCCTTCCTGCCCATGCCAATTTCCAGCTTTCAGCGCTATCACACTTTGAATGACAATTGCGTGGTCATGCAACACTGTACCCGTATGAAATTTTTATCATTTTTTTGAGACAGATAGAGCTTTCTTTTGGTGGTATTTAATCACCTCTGGGATTTTTATTTTTTCTTAAACCAAAAACTACTGAAAATTTTGAAAAAAAAAAAGTTTTTTCTTAGTTTTTGTTATACAATTTTGTAAATAAGTGATTTTTTCTCCTTCACTGATGTGCGCTAATGAGGCTGCAGTGATGGGCACTGATAGGCTGCACTGATGGACACTGATAGGTGGCATTGATGAGGAGTCACTGGTAGGTTGCACTGATGGGCATTGACAGCCATCACTGATGGGCACTGAAAGGCAGCACTGATACATAGCATTGACTGGCACTGTTAGGCAGCACTGACTAGGGCACTGTTAGGCGGCACTGACTGGCACTTATGCGTGACATTGAAAGGCAGCTCAGATGGGCACTGATATGTGGCATTGATATGCACTGGTATGCACTGATATGTGGCATTGATGTGGCACTGGCACGTGGCACTGATGAGCACTGACTGCTGGCACTGATGGACACTGACAGGTGGCACTTCTGGGCCACACTGATCATCAGGGCACACTGCTCATCAGTGCCCTGATGATCAGTGTACATGTCCCCTCCGCGGAAAGCTGATTACCGGCTCTCCTCTCCTCCGAGCTGTCAGCGTGACAGCTCGAGAGGAGAGAAATGCCGATAACCGGCATTCCGTGTTTACATGTGATCAGCTGTGATTGGACACAGCTGATCACATGACGGAGCCGACATCCTCGGCTTTTTCCGTGATCCGCTGTGTCCGAGGGACACAGCGCATTGGCAATCGCCGCACTGCGCACTCCCTGAGCCGCGCATGCGCGGTGAGAATGGAAGGACGTCCTATCAGAACGAGAGAACCACCTTGCGCTCGTCATTTTACTATATGGCGGGCAGAAGGTGGTTAAAGTGTATCTATAGTCAAAACCATTTTCTTTTGTTTTGAATAGAGCGGGTAATGGCTTTTTTTACATTGTGTCCCCCTTTTGTAGATTTTCCTTCCTTTCCTGTCCCTAAGACATAACAGGAAGTGAGAGGAAATCTCTCCAAACTGAGGGAAAATGATCTTCTAGCAGGGACACAGACAGGAATAAAAACTTGTTCTAACCCATCCCTACTCTTACCACAACTATCAAACAAATCCCTACTCTTTCCAAAACTTAGCCAGGTGTGAAAAAATGCTGTAAATGAAAAATGCTTTAAGATATAGAAGTATTAGTAATTTATTTTTATCAGTTAACAAACTGGAAAGTAAATGAACAGTAGAGAAATACAAATCAAATCAATATTTGGTGCAACTGCCCTTTGCTTTCCACCCTTTGCCTTCAAAACAGCATCAATTCTTCTAGGTACAGAGAGTTTGTACAGACAGATTTTGAAGGAACTCAAGGTAGGTAGGTTGTTCCAAACATCTTGGAGAACTAACCACAGATCTTCTATGGATGTAGGCTGCCTCAAATCCTTCTGTCTCTTCATGTAATCCCAAACAGACTCAATGATGGTGAGATTAGGGCTCTAAGGGGGCCAAACCATCACTTCCAGGACTCCTTGTTCTTCTTTACATTGAAGATGGTTCCTAATGACATTGGCTATATGTTCGGGGTGGTGGTCTTGCTGCAGAATAAATTTGGGGCCAATCACATGCCTCCCTGATGGTATGGCATGATGGATAGGCATCTACCTAGAATTGTTGCTGTTCTGAAGGGAAAGGGTTTGGTTTGGATTTCTCTTCTTTGTGTTTACTTTCCATTTTGTTAATTGATTAAAAGGAACTATTAGTACTTCTATTTCTGAAATAATTTCTAATTTATAGCATTTTCCCACTTCTGCCTAAAACGTCTGCACAATACTCTATATACATACACACACACTTTACAGTATATATATCCATTAGTTGTAGTAATATATAGGCATTTAAAGTTTTTTTGTTTGAGTTTAGCAACAGTACATACAGTAGCATATATATATATATATACATACATACACACTTTGCATATGAACACATTGTGGCATAACCACCTGGGACACATGTTTTGGATATAGTGGGCAATGGTATTTTTTTTTACATTCTGTGTCCCCTTTGATAGCTTTTCCTTTCCTGTCCCTAAGACATTTACAGAAAGTAGGAGTTAAATACTGTCTTAATAGCTGTGAAAAATGGAGGAAAAAAGGAAAAGATCTCATTAAAAGCAGAGGATACTTACATTGTCATAGTGCTTTTTCACAATTGGCTCATAGAAACCAATCGCTTCTTTGTATTTATTTTCCTGCATAAACAGAACATGAGCCACATTCAGCTTCCACACATCATGCTCACTGCAGAACTCCACTGATTTACGGAAGGTTTTTTCCACCTCCTGATAGTTCTCCAAGTTCCAGTAAATCTTTGCCTGGGCCATCAGAACAGGTATATATCTAGAATGCACAATAAAGAAGCAAATATAATAAAAGATTGTTCCAATTGCATCAAATTGCTACATTTTGTAGTGTCCAGTAGAAGAGCAAGTTAAAGTGTAAATAAACCCAATGATTTAACGGTCCCCTAAAAGAGTTACATTCAAGGCATGGCATTAATGATAACCATCACTGTTGCTTGAGCTCTTAACTGAACTGTCAAGCCATCAAATGGCTGGTGTCATAACTGATCACATGTGCATCAGCATGGCAACTGCAGATCAAACAGAGGCCAAGATGGCAGCTAATAACTGCATAGGGAGAACCACTCCAGGGGGCACTTACAAGACTCAACACAGCCTATGCAGCTACCATCTTGTTCACCACCTTTCTAATAGGTTACAGAAAAGCAAGAAAGGCAACCGCTTTCATCTGTTTGCAGCTAGCAAAAAAGGGAAAACTGCACATGGAAATAATTTAGTTAGGTTTCTTTTTGCTGGTTAGCTTATAAGTGTGCTAGTGTCTTTTGTAAAGTCATCTCTTCAATTAGGTCCACTTTCATAGGGGTCCCCAAGTTTAGTGATGGTGAGGTGAAAAGCACAGGAAATGGTATAAGGACCTCTCATTCTTCCAGTTGACTTAGTTGGCATCAATCAGCCTACAGTCCCTAACTGTTCTATACCCTCCTTCACCCATAGTTCTTTTATGGCAAATCAATGTAAAATTAAAGATTTACACAAAGCAATTGTTTTTTTCTTCTCTCGAATAAAGAAAATAGTGTTTTCTGTCAAAAAAAAGTGTCTAGAAAACTGAATATCTCCAAAATACTTGGGAAGAACATGCTCTGCAAAGTGTGTATGTATGTGTGTATGTACAGTTGCAAGAAAAAGTATGTGAACCCCTTGGGATTACATGGAGTTTTGCATGAATTGGGCATAAAATGTGCTCTGAACGTCATCTAAGTCACAACAATAGAAGAACACAGTCTGCTGAACATAATACTACACAAACATTAGATGTTGCCATGATTTAATTGCACATAACATGTAAACATTCACAGTGCAGGGAGGAAAAAGTATGTGAGGCCCTAGCTTAATGACTTCTCCCAGAGTTAATTGGAGCCAGCAGTGAGCCAACCTTGACTCCAATCAGTGTGATGATATATTGGATGTGTTGCTGACAGCTGTCCTGCCCTTAAAAAAACACATGCCTGTTTTGGGTTTACTGGTTTCAAGAAGCACTGTCTGATGTGAACCATGCCTCACAGAAAAGAGCTCTCAGAAGACCTACGATCAAGAATTGTTGACTTGCATGAAGCTGGAAAAGGTTACAAAAGTATCTCCAAAAGCCTTGATGTTCATGAGTCCATGGTAAGACAGACTGTCTACAAATGGAGAAAGTTTAGCACTGTTGCTACTCTCCCTAGGCGTGGTCGTCCTGTAAAAATGACTGCAAGAGCATAGCGCAGAATGCTGCATGAGGTAAAGAAGAATCCCAGAGTGTCAGCTAAAGACCTACAGAAATCTCTGGCACATGCTAACATTTTTGTTGACACATCTACAATAAGGAAAACATTAAACAAGAATGGAGTACATGGGAGGACACCACGGTGGACGCCATTGCTGTCCAAAAAGAATATTGCAGCACGTTTGAAGTTTGCAAAAGAGCACCTGGATGTTCCACAGCACTACTGGCAAAAATATACCGTGGACAGATGAAACCAAGATTGAGTTGTTTGGGAAGAAACACACAACACTATGTGTGGAGAAAAAAAGGCACAGCACACCAACATCAAAACCTCATCCCCACTGTAAAACATGGCGGAGGGAGCATCATGGTTTGGGGCTGCTTTGCTGCCTCAGGGCCTAGACGGATTGTTGTCATTGATGGTAAAATTAATTCCAGAGTTTATCAAGACATTTTGCAGGAAAACGTACGACCATCTGTCCGCCAACTGAAGCTCCGCAGAGGATGGGTGATGCAACAGGACAATGACCCAAAGCATACAAGTAATTCAACAAAACAATGGCTGCAACAGCACAGAATGCGCCTTCTGGAGTGGCCCAGTCAGAGTCCTGACCTCAACCCGATTGAAATGCTGTGGCATGACCTTAAGAGAGCGATTCACACCAGACATCCCAAGAATATTGCTACACTGAAACAGTTTTGTGAAGAGGAGTGGTCCAAAATTACTCCAGATCGTTGTGCAGGTCTGATCTGCAACTACAGGAAACGTTTGGTTGAAGTTATTGCTGCCAAAGGAGGGTCAACCAGTTATTCAGTCCAAAGGTTCACATACTTTTTCCTCCCTGCACTGTGAATTTTTACATGTTATGTGCAATTAAACCATGGCAACATCTAATGTTTGTGTAGTATTATGTTCAGCAGACTGTGTTCTTCTATTGTTGTGACTTAGATGACGTTCAGAGCACATTTTTATGCCCAATTCATGCAAAACTCCATGTAATCCCAAGGGGTTCACATACTTTTTCTTGCAACTGTATGTATGTGTATATACATGTATGTATGTATGTGTATATATATGTATGTGTATATATATATGTATGTGTGTATGTATGTGTGTATGTGTGTATATATGTATGTATGTATGTATGTATGTATATATATATATATATATATATATATATATATATATATATATATATATATAAAATGGCAAATGCCTACTTTTGCTTATAAGTCATCTAACCTTAGTCCTCAGTATGCTGATGGAATAATAATTCAATAAATGACAAGAACCAGTTTTTTTTTGGTATTTGTTCATTTTAATGGTTGAATGTAAGCTACTTGGATTAAAATTGAAAACATCAATTGTGCAGAATTCAGTCTTTCCATAGCCAGATAAAAGGGTAAAATAATTAGCTGTAGTCTGTGTTATCTTAATCTGTACATAAAACATCAGTTACTATAAAGCAAATACCAGATTTCCTCCAAGCACTATAGATAGACGGGTGACAGCTCAGTTCTGAGTGTTTTTATGGGTCAATGGACAACACTGCAATTTGTACGATGCAGTAAAATAAAGTAAATTATTTGCCAAAGCAAGAGTCAACACCAAGGCAATGTAACCCATAGGTTAAATACCAGGGGTTTGACAAAACGAACAGAGGCTACAAATTTGCCAGTTTTTGCACTGTGTATATTTCTTGAGAAAGTGTGTGTATTTTTATTAAAAAAAAAAAAGTTTCAGTGGGGTAAGCAGAATTTCGTAAGGCGAAAGGTGTATAACATGGACTATGAGGGCACTGACTGAGAGCAAATAATATATAACAAACTATTGATCCAGAGATAGCACTCTTCTTATATGATCATCAACATGTAAATCACAAACCCTAAGCCATGAAAACACATAACCCGCTAAAATAATTCCCATTTTACAGGTGCCTTGACACTCAAAAATATACAAGTAAAATTTCAAATTGGAGACAGACAATCTTCAATGGAGAAAGAAACCCAGGCCTCTCATCAAAACAGCAACATCTAATAAGGAACTAGTAAACTAATCAAATAAGCATACAAACTACAGTACATATTAAAGCCCCTTTCACACGGGCAGACTCCCAAGTGGATCAGCCTGCTTGGAGGAGGAACTGTCCACAGATCCCCTCTGAGCAGGCGGATGATAGGTCTGTGGACGCTCCGATTGAGTGAACATGGACACGGCCCACTGTTCACTATGGGGCGGGCGGACCACCTTTCTATTTACATCCGGCTGTCATCCGATCTGCTAGATGGATAGGGAAAGGATCCCCATCCATCTGTCTTTACACTGCCTGCATTCAGTCTGCTAAAAACTCATTTTTCCGTTTACATCTGCCTCCCCATAAAGAACACTGGATGGTCCGATCGGGTCCGCCTGAAAAACAGGCAAGCAGACCTGATCAGTCCACCCATGTGAAAGGTCCTAAAGTGGTTGTATTTGTTTTATTAACAAAGAAGTTTATACTTACCCACTCTGTGCAATGGAATTGCACAGAGCAGCCCTGATCCTCCTCTTCTCGGGTCCCCGCTGGCCTTCATGGCTCCTCCCTCTCCGATGACTGCCCCCACAGAAAGCCGCTCACCCCCCACTCCCTGAAGCCAATGGCTTCTGCTGCCTCAGCAAAGCCTGTGAGACCAGGAAGTGAGGGGAGAGAAAAGCTGCTAACATGCACAGTGCTGGATGGAATGATGGCTCAGGTAAGTAAAAGGGACGACACTGATGCCTAACCATTTTTTACCTTAATGCATGGAATGCATTAGGGTAGCAAATGTTTAGGCTTATAACTACATTAAACCTCATGTAATAATAAATAATGTAAATGTGCACCAAAAAGAGTACTGCTGCTCTGCACTAAAGGAGAAAATAAGTAAGAGCTAAAGATCACACAAATCATATATACAGAAACATCATAAAACAAATTAGAAACATATGTAAATAAATAATAAATGTAACTAATACCTGAGATGGTGCCACCCCAGCTGGCACATTCGATGTTAAGTGGAGGTAGGGAAGGCATGCTCCACATCTACCCCAGTATGACTGCTTTCCTAGGAGCCGATGAGATGTGTGACTGTACTAGAAGATTGTGCTCACAGAATTATTGGTTTGTATTCAGAACTACAACTTGCAGTGAGAACTCTATATAGCTGGACTTTAAAAAAAAATGCTGTATCTACTGTCTGTGTCTGTATCCTCAGGTGTCAAGCATTTTTATGTTAAAATAATGTTTGGAAAACAAATTGGCATGTATAAAAAGTGTAAATATACATATATAAAAAAAATGTATATATACTGTAAATGAAAAAATCATTAGTGGTACAGTTGTAAAAAGTCTCCATGAGCTCTAATGTTTCCACAGATCCTTATCAACACAAATGTATATAAATTCTAATAACTTACTTTTCTAGGGCTTCATCATAGTCATTCACAGCCTTTTTAACTGCCTCATCATCTCGATTATGTCTTGCTTCTTGTACCTTTACAAACATATTAGCAAATTTTTTAATTGTATGTGTAGTAATTTTTTTTTTTAGTAGAAATGGTTAAATAAGGAAGAAAGTAAAATCAATATTAGGTTATTTTTTTCTGATGATATCTGGTTAGGAAAATTTCCCTTCACTTCCTCTCCTGGAGATGCAACTGGAATTAACAGGAAATTTCTCAAAAGTGAACAGTCTCATTGTCTTGAAGTGTATTGTAAAAAAATTTAAACTGATGTGCCACAACGCTGCTAAGAGGTCCATATACAACTTTATTGCTATAAGGCTCCATGCATACTGGACATTTTAGCTGGTAGCGTTAGCAGTGTAAAGTCGCGTTAAAATGCAAGTTTTTCAGAATTATTTTGTCATTAGCGTTTAGCCGTATTTTTCCACGTTTGCGTTTTTTTTAGCATCTTTTACACAAAAAAATTAAATAAACTTTTTGCTTAAAAAAAAAAGCCCAAAAACGCCTGTTAGCAACGTTCTTACGCAGTTATCAGTGTTAGAGCGTTTTTACAGCTAAAAACCTCCTCTAGAAACCCACTAGTTCTGGGGGTTTTTTCCAGCCAAAAACACTGATTAAAGCCTACGTGTGCATGGACACATACGAAAACATGCTGTGGAGTTTACTGGCTGTAGAACAAAATACCAAAAGCCAAAAATAGCAGCAGTAAAAATGTCCAGTGTGCACGAGGACTAAAAGTCAGAATGCCAATCCACAAAGTAGCCGTTTAGCTACTTTTACTTTTTGTAATGTCCCCGTGACTTTTATTGGAATAAAGTTGTACCTGTGGGGAATATTTACTAAAACTGGAGAATGTGAAATCTGGTGCAGCTCTGCATAGAAACCAATCAGCTTCCAAGTTTAATTGCTAAAGCTTAATTGAACAAGCTGAAGTTAAATGCTGATTAGATTCCATGCACAGATGCACCAGATTCTGAGTGCTCCAGTTTTAGCAAATCTCCCCCTCTACGTCTTAGCAGTGGTGTAGCACTTCAGTTTTAATTTTTGTTTTTTCCAAGTACTGAAGCCATTAGATGAGCAAGACAGACAGGTAACTCGTAGTTTCAAAAAGTAGTTTTAGGAAGGGCAGCCTTCATACTTCTTCAGGAAAGGTGCACTTTGCAGTAAAGCTGGCCATAGATGGTGCAATTTTCTTTCCTGCAACCAACAAAAAAAACTTGTACAATTATCCTGCCCATACATGGTTCGAATGTCGGCAGGTCCCTTCTGAACTGGCAAAGATTTGAACCGTCTATGGCCTGCTTAAGGATAGTGTTTCCCAAGCTTCGGTCAGCCATGTACCACCATCACGGCCGCAGCTGTATATGTTTCTCCATCATTTCCATCTCAACACATACTTAATTGCTTAATTATCATCCCCCTGCGGGTGTCCATTAGGTCCATTAATCGTTCCAGACCATGGAGGCCACAGAAGCGTCAGTGTACTGGTTAATTCTGGAATACTATATGTGAGTTAACTGTATATCTATCTATTTGCATAGAACTCTGCTTTATTCAGAGAGTGGGCAAGTGATGTAGAAGTTAGAAGAAATGATTTAAAAAGAGATGGCAAAGAAATTAATCTACAGACACAATTCTAGTTAACTCTGTAACATTTTAAGCACCATGTTTTTCGGGTACTGGCTTCTGCAATTTGTTCAGCTGTGTGCCAACCTCTCTGTGACCACTTAACTTAGAAATACTGCAAAATCATTTGCTACTTTAGAGAGAAAGCAAAACAGGTATAGTTCACTGCACCAGTACAATCCCATCCATAATCTGCAACAACACAGGTAAATTGACAGCCACTTACGGAACTGCTGTAGAGCTATGTAAACTAGTTTCTGTATTCTAATATTTAGGATGTGCCTATAGAAAAACCCAAGTTTCTTTAATAAGTAGGCCTGATTAGCTGCAATTTTCATGCCTCTGCTGTAAAATTTGAGTATGATTTTCTCCACGGTGCCTGCAACTACATAGGTCAGCAAGGGTTTATTTTAAAGCTCATTTACTACTTGCCAAGAATATCTTACCTTTTTAAGGTGTCCCCAGCTTGGCTACAGGTTCACTTTAAGTCCCACCAATCCCAACACTAAGCCATTAATATCAGTAGTAAAAGCTCTTTCATATGACATTGTGTGGGTCTATTGCCAGCAGGAAGAAACATATATGTGTTGATTTAATAAAACTGGAGAGTGCAGAATCTGTTCCAGCTCTGCATACAAAACAATAGAACTTCAGGTTTTTTTTTTACAGCTTAACTGAACAAGCTGAAGTTAGAAACTGATTGGCTGCAGAGCTGCTGCAGATTTTGCGCTCTCCAGTTTTACCATAACCTTATCTTGGGAAATATTTGAGGCCCTGGTGCTGGAATTCTAGAGACTCCAAGGGCACACAGGGATCAGTTGAAGTCTAACGCTACCACTGTGTTAGCTTGATGCAAAATAATAATATAATACTAATATTTTAATAAAAATTGTGTACAGTATATATTACCACACTACCAAATCAAAAAATTAGCTGTGCATTTGTAATGTTCCTTATAAGCAGCTGGCTTTAGTAGCATATTATAGAAATTAAACAATATTTCCAGTTTGTACCTGTTTTGTTAATTTTCTTAACTGTTCTGTAAGCATCCCAGCCAGTTCTTCAAGCCTGGCATACGTCTAAAGTACAAAATAATTATATATATGATTATAATCAAATATTAAGCAGCTGCAGTTAACTGTATATTTAGGATGTAAAATTTGTTGTTACCAGTTAGTTTTACAGGAATATTATATACGGTACTACAAACTTTAAAATTACACGCTAAACTTGAAGGAAAGCTCCACTTTTTACTGATACAGATTTACAGATATCCTCTCATTTTTCTCGTGAGGTGTCATAAGCCAGGCAGCCTATGCATTGCTAAAAGGTTTAAAACCAAATCCAACAACTTGTCAGAAATTAGGAAAATTCAAACTGAGCATTAACAAAATAAACAAAAAAAAATTACATGATTTTATATTCAGAGAACTAAACAGTTGAAATTTTATGCAAGTCTAGATTTTTTCTGTAACCCAAAATGTGGGGCTTTTACTTTCCCTTTCGATGATAATGGTAAACAGGACAAAAAGGGAGGGTAAAGTTCCCTAACGAGGCACAGACAGCAATAAAAACTGACAGACATTCTAATTCCCCTTTATTCTGTCCAAAAAATAATAAAAAAAAAGTTTTGCCTTTAATTATACATTAAGATTTTAGTAGAACTTCAACTGCCAGTATGTCTAGATTTACTGGCATTTAAATATACCCTATATATCCAAAAGTATTGGGACACCCCTCTAAATCATTGGATTCACGTGTTCCAATCACCTCCATGACCACTGGTGTATAAAATCAAGCACTTAGGCATGCAGACTGCTTCTACAAACATTTGTGTAAGAATGGGTCACTCTCAGGAGCTCAGTGAATTCAAGCGTGGTACCATGATAGGTTGCCACCTGTGTAATAAGTCCATCCATGAAATTTCCTCGCTAATAAGTATTGCACGGTCAACTGTTAGTGGTATTTTGACAAAGTGGAAGAAACTGGGAACAACAGCAATTCAGCCACGAAGTGGTAGGCCACATAAAATGATGGAGCGGGGTCACCACATACTGAAGTGTGCAGAATTTGCCAACTGTCTGCAGAGACAATAGCTAAAGACCTCTAAACTTCATGTGGCCTTCAGATTAGCATAACAAGTGTGTAGAGAGCTTCATTGAATGGGTTTCCATGGCTGAGCAGCTGCATCCAAGTCTTGAGGTGTCAGCATACCAAGACATTTTGGACAATTGCATGCTCCATACTTTGTGGGAACAGTTTGGGGATGGCCCCTTCTCGTTCCAACATGACTACGCACCAGTACATAAAGCAAGGTCCATAAAGACATGGATGAGCGAGTTTGGGGTGGAGGAACTTGACTGGTCTGCACAGAGTCCAGACCTCAACCCAATAGAACACCTTTAGGATGAATTACAGTGAAGACTGCAAGCCAGGCTTTCTTGTCTGACATCAGTGCCTGACCTCACAAATGTGCTCCTGGAAGAATGGTCAAACATTCCCATAGACACACTCCTAAACCTTGTGGACAGCCTTCCCAGAAGAGTTGAAGCTGTTATACCTGCAAAGGGTGGGCCAACTCAATATTAAATCCTATGGACAAAGACTGGGATGCCATTAAAGTTTATGTGCTTGTAAAGGCAGGCAACCCAATACTTTTGGCAATATAGTGTATGTATTTCAGTCAAGGTAACCTGTAATTATGCTTTTTTCAGCACATACATTTGAATTTCCTGGTTTGTGACAGGTGTACTTTAGATAACTGTTACATTCTAAGTAAACAGACAAAGTGAATCTGTCAACTATTTTACACTTGCATCTGTCATTGCCGCCTCTTTAAAAAGTCATCCGCAGTGGATTGCTTTTCAGTGGCATTTGATAAGCAATTTTAACCCTTGAAAGGTCGCAGCACTGTGCTGCAACCGCCTGCGGCATGCAGCTGCAGGCATCTTCACGGTATCAACATTTTCAGCAAGGGATTCTCTTTAAAGTAGAAGTGATTTGAGTGGATATACAATCACTCGATCTTTTCTACAGGCAGCCCCTGATCTCTCCATAAAGAGGACAGTCCATGCTATCACAAGGGATGTTGTTTATCCCTTTTGATAGCATTAAAATTGATTTAAAAAAAAATTAAAGGGACAGTGTTAAAAAAAACACATTTAAAGAAAATAAATTTAAAACAAATGTAAAGTGCTCCTGACCACCCATGCTCATGTGCAAATGCGAGCATGCACACATATATATAAATGGTGATTGCACCACACATGGGAGGTATTGCTGAGAACATCAGAGCGAGAGAAATAGTTCAAGCACCAGACCTCCTGTGTAACTCTAAACTGGTCATCTGTAAAGGCTTTTAAAGTGTTGTATATGGAGAATTTTAGGTAGCGAAGTTTGGTGCCGTTCCACAGGCGTACCTCATTTTAAACCACAACATGTTAGGTATCTATTTACTCGGCATGACAACATCTTCTGTGATTTACAAAACACATTGGGTATTATATTGTGTTTGTGTTCACCTAAATTCATTAAAGTGTATTTATTCCAAAACATTTGAATTTGAAAAACTGCTGTGCGCAACATACATGTGATCATTTTTGGGGGTTCTATATATTTTTTTTTAGAAAAAAAAATGATTTTTACATGTACAGTGGATATAAAAGGTCTACACACCCCTGTTAAAATGTCAGGTTTCTGTGATGTAAAAAAATGAAACAGATGAATTATTTCAGAACATTTTCCACCTTTAATGTGACCTATAAACTGTACAACTCAATTGAAAAACAAACTGAAATCTTTTTTTGGGGGGAGGGGGAAGTAAACATAAAAAACTAAAATAATGTGGTAGCATAAGTGTGCACACTGTCTTATAACTGGGGATGTAGCTGTGTTCAGAATTAAGTAATCACATTCAAAATCATGTTAAATAGGAGTCAGTACACACCTGCTATCTTTTAAAGTGTCTCTGATTAACCCCAAATAAAGTTCAGCTGTTCTAGTAGGTCTTTCCTGACATTTTCTTAGTCGCATCCTACAACAAAAGCCATGGTCCGCAGAGAGCTTCCAAAGCATCAGTGGGATCTCATTGTTAAAAGGTATCAGTCAGGAGAAGGGTACAAAAGAATTTCCAAGGCATTAGATATACCATGGAACACAGAGAAGACAGTCATCATCAAGTGGAGAAAATATGGTGCAACAGTGACATTACCAAGAACTGGACATCCCTCCAAAATTGATGAAAAGACGAGAAAACTGGTCTAGGAGGCTGCCAAGAGGCCTACAGCAACATTAACGGAGCTGCAGGAATATCTGGCAAGTACAGGCTGTGTGGTACATGTTACAACAATCTCCTGTATTTTTCATATGTGTGGGCTATGGGGTAGAGTTGCAAGATGTAAGCCTTTTCTTACAAAGAAAAACATCCAAGCCCAGCTAAATTTTGCAAAAACACATCTGAAATCTCCCAAAAGCATGTGGGAAAATGTGTTGATGGTCTGATGAAATGGTCTGATGAAACCAAGGTTGAACTTTTTGGCCATAATTCCAAAAGATATGTCTGGCGCAAAAACAACACTGCACATCACCAAAAGAATACCATACCCACAGTGAAGCATGGTGGTGGCAGCATCATGTTTTGGGGCTGTTTTTCTTCATTTGGAGTTGGAGTTAAGGTAGAGACAATTATGAACAGTTCCAAATACCAGTTAATATTGGCACAAACTTCATCTTTCAGCATGGCAATTACCCAATGCATACATCCAAATCAACAAAGGAATGGCTTCACCAGAAGAAGATTAAAGTTTTGGAATGGCCCAGCCAGAGCCCAGACCTGAATCTGATCGAAAATCTGTGGGGTGATCTGAAGAGGGCTGTGCACAAGAGTTGCCCTCGTAATCTGACAGATTTGGAGTGTTTTTGCAAGGAAGGGTGGGCAAATATTGCCAAGTCAAGATGTGTCATGCTGATAGACTCATACCCAAAAAAGACTGAGTGCTGTAATAAAATGAAAAGGTGCTTCAACAAAAGCATTAGTTTAAGGGTGTGCACACTTATGCAACCATATTATTTTATTTTTTTCATTTTACTTCCCTCCACCTAAAAGCTTTCAGTTTGTTGTTCAACTGAGTTGTACAGTATATAGGATACATTAAAGGTGGAAAAAGTTCTGAAATGATTTATCTTTGTCTCATTTTTTTACATCACAGAAACCTGACATTTTAACAGGGGTGTGTAGACTTTTTATATCCACTGTATGAGAGAAATGGCAGAATTGACCTGGGTGTAAAGTGGTAAAAAAAATTTAAAGGTATGCTTTATCACCAAATACAAATGATAAGGAAGAGATTGCTGAGAAGTGTGATCCTGTGCCTTCCAGTCAGCAGAGAAAAAACAACTGCCAAAAGTGCAAGATCACTTTATGTTCTATGATAGGCTTAAAATATATGTGACATACCTCTTCGGGTGATGTTTGGCATGCAGTTAGTGCATGTAGAAAACTGTGTAAATACTGTAGTGAAAAGAGAAAAAAAAAGTTAGGAAACATTATTCTTTAATATTGCCAGTTTTTATTTTGCAGTGAGTACTGACGATGTAAGCAAAATGCTATTGCCATGCAAACAACTTAATCTATAATATATACAGGGTGTCCCTAAAGTCTGCACACATAGAAAATATCTATATATATATATATATATATATATATATATATATAATATATATATATATATAAACATACATACACTGCTAAAAAAAATTAAAGCAACACTCTGAAAACACATCAGATCTCAACGGGGGAAAGTATCATGCTGGATATGGATGATATGGATTGGGTAATGTGTTAGGAACATAAGGATGCATAAGGATGCCCCATCATTTGATGGAAATGAAACTGATCAACCTACAGAGGACTAAATTCAAAGACACCCCAAAAATCAAAGTGAAAAAATGATGCAGCAGGCTAGTCCATTTTGCTGACATTTCTTTGCAGCAACTCAAAATGGTACTCCTAGATTGTAAGCTTAAAAGAGCAGGGCCCTCGAACCCCTCATGTATTGTATTGTTACTGTTTTGTCTCATGTTCTGTCCCCCTTGCTATTGTACAGCGCTGAGCAAACCCTTTGGTGCTATATAAATAATGTATAATAATAATAATAATACTCAATAGTTTGTATGGCCCCCACGTGCTTGTATGCATGCCTGACAACATCGGGGCGTGCTCCTAATGAGACGATGGATGGTGTCCTGGGGTATTTCCTCCCAGATCTGGACCAGGGCATCACTGAGCTCCTGGACAGTCTGAAGTGCAACCTGGCAGCATCGGATAAACCGAAACATGATATCCCAGAGGTGTTCTATTGGATTTAGGTCAGACGAGCATGGGGGCCATTCAACGGTATCTATTCCTTCACCCTCCAGGAACTGATTGCATACTCGCGCCACATAAGGCTGGGCATTGTCGTGCACCAGGAAGAACCCTGGACCCACTGCACCTACTTAGGGTCTGACAATGGGTTCAAGGATTTCATCCCGATACCTAATGGCGGTCAGGGCGCCATTGTCTAGCCTGTAGAGGTCTGTGTGTCCTTCATGGATATGCCTCCCCAGATCATCACTGTCCTACCACCAAACCAGTCATGCTGAACAATGTTACAGGCAGCATAATGTTCTCCATGGCTTCTCCAGACCCTTTCACGTCTATCACATGTGCTTAGGGTGAACCTGCTCTCTCATCTGTGAAAAGCACAGGGTGCCAGTGGCGGACCTGCCAATTCTGGTGTTCAATGGCAAATGCCAATTGAGCTCTGTGGTGCCGGGTGGTGAGCACAGATCCCACTAGAGGACATCGGGCCCTCAGGCCACAATCATGAAGTCTGTTTCTTATTGTTGTCAGAGACATTCACACCAGTGGCCTGCTGGAGGTCATTTTGTAGGGCTCTGGCAGTGCTCATCCTGTTCCCCCTTGCACAAGGGGCCACATACCGATCCTTCTGATGGGTTAAGGACCCTCTACAGCCTGGTCCAGCTCTCCTAGGGTCACTGCTTGTCTCCTGAAATCTCCTCCATTCTCTTGAGACTGTGCTGGGAGACACAGCAAACCTTCTGGCAATGGCACATATTGATGTGCCATCTTTGAGGAGTTGGACTGCCTGTGCAACCTTTGTGAGGTCCAGGTATCGCCTCATGCTACCGGTAGTGACACTGACCCTAGCCAAATGCAAAACTAGTGATAAACAGTCAGAAAAGAGGAGTAGGGAAAAAAATGTCAGTGGCCTCTACCTGTAAAATTGTCTCGCTGTAGCCCATCTAGTGCATCTGTTGTTAATTTCATTAACACCAAAGCTGCTGAAACCGATTAACAACTCCCTCTGCTGCTTTACTAACCAGATTAATATCCCAGGAGTCTAATTGACTTGATGCTATACTCTTATTAAAAAGTGTTCCTTTAATTTTTTTGAGCAGTATATATACAGTGCATCCAGAAAGTATTCACAACGCTTAACTTTTGCCACATTTCGTTATGTTACAGCCTTATTCCAAAATGGATTAAATTAATTTTTTTCCACAACATTCAAAAAACAATACCCCATAATGACAACATGAAAGAAGTTTGTTTTGAAATCTTTGCAATTTATTAAAAATAATCCCTCCTGGATCCCTCTTCTGTATGGTGATTTTTCGACAACAAAAATTTTTTATGTGCAGCAATCCAACTTTCTTTTTTTTCTATATATGGCATTTGGGAGGACCTGATTGCTATGCATTGTGATTGATCACCGTTGTGCACTCCACCTACTGTATATCACTGCTATATATATATATATATATACACACACATACACATACATTCAGTTGTGTTCAAAATAATAGCAGTCAGACATCACTAACCTGATCAATCACTGTTTTTGGTAGAAATGATATTTCTACATGGCAAATAATTTACTAGCAGGTGTAGTAGAGTAATAGAAATCCAACAGACCCAACAGTCATGACATGCATGCTGCTGATTCTGTGTAATTGAATCACTAATTGAAAGGGGCATGTTCAAAATAATAGCAGTGTGGAGTTCTATTGCCCTTATGTAAGGAAGGAAGGCAGCAAATGTTGTGCATGCTGGTTACAGTGCATTTCTCTCTGAAATTCTGAGGAAAATGGGTTGTACCAGATATTGTTCAGAAGAACAGCGTATCTTGATTAAAAAGTTGATTGGAGAGGAGGAAAACATATAAAGAAGTGCAGAAAATGATAGGCTGCTCAGCTAAAATGATCGCAAATGCTTTAAAATGGCAACCAAAACCTGAAAGACGTGGAAGAAAGCAAAAAACTACCATTCGTATGGATAGAAGAATAGCCAAAATGGCAAGGACTCAGCCAGCAATCAGCTCCAGGAAGATCAAAGAAGGTGTAAAGTTACCTGTGAGTACTGTTACAATTAGAAGCTGCCTACATGAAGCCAAGCTATCTGCAAGAAGCCCCCGCAAAGTCCCACTGTTGACAAAAAGACGTGCTGAAGAGGTTACAATTTGCCAAAGAGCACATTGACTGGCCTAAAGAGAAATGGCGCAACATTTTGTGGACTGATGAAAGTAAGATTGTTCTTTTTGGGTCTAGTGGCCGGAGACAGTTTGTCAGACGACCCCCCAAAAACTGAATTCAAAGCCACAGTACACTGTGAAGACAGTGAAGCATGGCTGCGCAATACTACGGTGTTGGGCCTATTTATCGCATACCAGGAATCATGGATCAGTTTGAATACTTCAGAATACTTGAAGAGGTCATGCTGCCTTATGCTGAAGAGGAAGTGCCTTTGAAATGGGTGTTCCAACAAGACAACGACCCCAAAACACACCAGTAAACGTGCAACATCTTGGTTCCAGACCAAGTAGATTGACGTTATGGAGTGGCCAGCCCAATCCCCGGATCTTAATCCAATAGAAAACTTGTGGGGTGACATCAAAAATGCAGTTTCTGAGGCAAAACCAAGAAATAGAGAAGAACTGTGGAATGTAGTCCAATCATCCTGGGCTGGAATACCTGTTCACAGGTGCCAGAAGTTGGTTGACTCCATGCAACACAGATGTACAGCAGTTCTCAGAAACAGTGCTTATACAACTAAATATTAATTAAGTGATTCAAAGGAAAGCAAAATCTTCAAACATTTTTCAGTTTATATAGTGCATGTTTGAGTTTGTAAAGAAGAATACAAACACTGCTATTTTTTTGAACAGTCTAATATTCAATTTTCTTCAATTTTTTTTAGAGGAATAACACAAATTTGATATATTTTTCTTCATGTTTTGATTTGGAATAGAATGTGTAGTGTTCCCAATGCATTTGTGTGTATGGAAATAAAAGCTATTAGAAGGATTTTGAGCTTTATTCACTTTTTTTAACACACTGCTATGATTTTGAACACAACTGTATATATATATACAGTCAGGTCCATAAATATTGGGACATCGACACAATTCTAACATTTTTGGCTCTATACACCACTACAATGAATTTGAAATCAAACGAACAAGATGTGCTTTAACTGCAGACTGTCAGCTTTAATTTGAGGGTATTTACATCAAAATCAGGTGAACGGTGTAAAAATTACAACAGTTTGCATATGTGCCTCCCACTTGTTAAGGGACCAAAAGTAATGGGACAATTGGTCCCTCAGCTGTTCCATGGCCAGGTGTGTGTTATTCCCTCATTATCCCAATTACAATGAGCAGATAAAAGGTCCCGCGTTCATTTCAAGTGTGATATTTGCATTTGGAATCTGTTGTTGTCAACTCCCAAGATGAGATCCAAAGAGTTGTCACTATCAGTGAAGCAAGCCATCATTAGGCTGAAAAAAAACAAAACAAACCCATCAGAGAGAGAGCAAAAATATTAGGCGTGGCCAAAACAACCGTTTGGAACATTCTTAAAAAGAAGGAACGCACCGGTGAGCTCAGCAACACCAAAAGACCTGGAAGACCACGGAAAACAACTGTGGTGGATGACCGAAGAATTCTTTCCCTGGTGAAGAAAACACCTTCACAACAGTTGGCTGGATCAAGAACACTCTCCAGGAGGTAGGTGTATGTGTGTCAAAGTCAACAATCAAGAGAAGACTTCACCAGAGTGAATACAGAGGGTTCACCACAAGATGTAAACCGTTGGTGAGCCTCAAAAACAGGAAGGCCAGATTAGAGTTTGCCAAACGACATCTACAAAAGTCTTCACAGTTCTGGAACAACATCCTATGGACAGATGAGACCAAGATCAACTTGTACCAGAGTGATGGGAAGAGAAGAGTATGGAGAAGGAAAGGAACTGCTCTTGATCCTAAGCATACCACCTCATCAGTGAAGCATGGTGGTGGTAGTGTCATGGCGTGGATATGTATGGCTGCCAATGGAACTGCTTCTCTTGTATTTATTGATGATGTGACTGCTGACAAAAGCAGCTGGATGAATTCTGAAGTGTTTCGGGTAATATTATCTGCCCTTATTCAGCCAAATGCTTCAGAACTCATTGGACGCCGCTTCACAGTCCAGATGGAAAATGACCCAAAGCATACTGCAAAAGCAACCAAAGAGTTTTTTAAGGGAAAGAAGTGGAATGTTATGCAATGGCCAAGTCAATCACCTGACCTGAATCCGATTGAGCATGCATTTCACTTGCTGAAGACAAACCTGAAGGGAAAATGCCCCAAGAACAAGCAGGAACTGAAGGCAGTTGCAGTAGAGGCCTGGCAGAGCATCACCAGGGATGAAACCCAGCGTCTGGTGATGTCTATGCTTTCCAGACTTCAGGCTGTAATTGACTGCAAAGGATTTGCAACCAAGTATTAAAAAGTGAAAGTTTGATTTATGATTATTATTCTGTCTCATTACTTTTGGTCCCTTAACAAGTGGGAGGCACATATGCAAACTGTTGTAATTCCTACACCGTTCACCTGATTTGGATGTAAATACCCTCAAATTAAAGCTGACAGTCTGCAGCTAAAGCACATCTTGTTCGCTTCATTTCAAATCCATTGTGGTGGTGTATAGAGCCAAAAATGTTAGAATTATGATGATGTCCCAATATTTATGGACCTGACTGTATATATATATATATATATATATATATATATACTATATATAAACTCACACCAGACCTTAACCCCCTTGACTTCTTTTTTTGGGGGATATGCTAAAGGAGAAGGCGTACTCAATGAAAATCACAGATATGAATCACCTGAAGTAAAGCATCATAAACGTATGTGCTTAAATTGACGTAAATGTGGAGTTGCTGCATCGAGTTCATGTGAATCTTGCAAAGCACATGGAACTTTGAATCACAAACGGTGAAAATCACATTGAATATGTTGTTGATTAATATTCCAACGAAATGAAACATTGTTGAAAAATGTATTGGAATTTATTGAAAATGTTCATTTTTCCTATGTGTCCAGACTTCAGGGACACCCTGTATAATAAAAAGCCTTGCACAAAATGATTTATAAGCATTAAAAAAAGCTATAACAAATACTGGATGCTATAAACTTTACTGAAGGCAGAACTTAACTCCCAAAAGGAGTGTTTATTACATTTAACCCCCACCACAAATGTCTTTTTTTCTTGATTAAGGTTTTTTTTTTTTTACTCCAGCCCTGTCCCCTACCATGATTCTGGTCTAGTACAGAATGGCATGTCCCTGGTTTTGCAGCCTCCTGGGACACTCAAGTAACATCTCCAAGGATGCTGCAGGACCAGAAACAGAGAATGGCCAGCATGTCATCAGGAGTTGGCTGTCTGAAGAGGCAGCATCTGAAGAGAACCAAGATGGCAGTGTGGGACGTGGACCTTGTCACTCGAACAGCAGAAATTTGGAAGATAAACTAGCAATAAAGGTGAAAGGGTATAAAAAAAATGGGGAGAATTAAATTTTGCTTTAAAGTGAATGGAAAACGTATTTTAATATATCGGTTAGATAACTGTAAAATTCCAAATCACTTTTGAATACTTTTAAGATGATGATAGATGGTTGTACAGCCTTAAGGTTTTTACTTTCATGCATTCTATGCATTAAGGTAGAAAAACCTTCTATGCTGCATCTCCCAAGGCTCCCCCTTATACTTACCTGAGTGTGATCCCGATTCAGCAATGTGCCTGAGAGCAGCGGCTCTCCTGGCTCTGTCCCTCCTCTTTGCACAGATTGATAGCAGGGGGAGCAATTGGTCAATCAAATTCTGTGACAAGGAAATGGGGGGATGGAGCAGAGCTGCCCTGTCTGTGTCAATGGATGCAGGCAATACGGCTCGGGAGTGAGCCTGCACAAGTGCCCCTTAGGAAGAAGCTTCCTATGGAGGCACTTGTTGAAGAGGAGGAGCCAGGAGTGCTGGCTGTGGACCCCACAAGAAAAGGATCAAGGCTGCTCTAAACGATTGTACAGAGCAGGTAAGGATGATATGTTTGTTATTTTTAAAGAGCTAAAAAATTTAACTTATAATTAATGTTACTTTACAGAGTGCAAGGTTTGCTTTTTAAACGCGCCACCTTGTTAAAACGTCAAGTCAAAGTTGAAAAAGTAGATATTATACTTACCTTTCCTGTAGCACCAGTAGTGCAGAGGGTGATGTACTGGGTCAGTGGCTCAAATATTAATACAACATGGTAAACATGACAGGCAGCATTTTTGGGACCAGAGCTTAGTAATGGTATCCCCCAAGTTTTACTCCTAAATGGTTTCCTTTACATTCAAAAGTCCCCATTGTTAGCAACTGGGGATGTCTGGATAAGTCGTTTTAATGTTGATTATGAAAATGAGCAAATATGTACACAAATTGACTTGATTTACTGAATTTTTAAAGAAATACTTACAGGAGTTAGAAACTTGTAAGTCAGATGGGCATTTCCAGCCAGTACGTCTCCTGCAAGGTCAAAGTACTGGAAAGAGATCGAATAACAATGCATTATAAGTAATTTACTAACAGTCTTTGGACCTATGTTGATGACATCAGTTTGCCACGCTTCTCAGATTATTCAGAATCCATTGTTGGTACATCTGACATGAGGTTGACCTTTTTCCTCATCTGCATTTGGCCTGCTTTAAGGGGGTTCTGCATTCTTAAAGACTTTTATGAAAATGCAAAACCCATCTGAAGTGAACAAAAACCCACTGACTCAAGTCCTTAGATTCACACTGACAATGGTACATTCCTCACGAACATTAAAATAATTGGTTTCTGTGGATATAAAATATAACTGAATATAATAATGATTGAGGCAAAATTACTAGACAATGTTCCTGAAGAATTATAACAAACCCTTCCCATGCACTGTTAATGCTCCTGAATTACTCCCCAACACCTGATAAATGGGAAATGTAGTCACCTACTTCCATCCTAAAATTAAGTGCTGAATGCTTAAAGCGATATTAAACTCAAAACAAAAACATATTGCAGCTTACCAGTCATTAGATGTGGTGGCTGCATTCATTTTCTTTTTAGGCGTTTCCTCCCTCTGTTTTCACCTTGTAATCTGCCTAGTAACATACAGTACTTGCTGTATTAGAGTTCCCCCACTCTGGATGAATGAGCACAGGAGGCACAAAAGACAGCAGCAATGTCAGTCTGAGGGGGAGGGGAGTGATAAATATACTAGCAGATTTAGATACAGTAACAAATTGAAGTCAAATTTCAGCTCATACTATATAATCAGTTACAGCAAACAGTTGTTTTTTCCTTTTAGGATAAAGGTTTTACATGAATAAATAAAAGCCAAATGTTGTAAACACCCCTGCCAGTGCTAAATAGTTTGTTTAATTCGTGTAAACTGACACAAGCTGCAAGAAGGCTTGTTCTTTTGAAAATCAACAGACTTACTGGCTGGATCACCAGGTGAAAATAGAAGAAAGCAAGCCAAAAAAAAAAAAAGAAAATGAATACCACCATCAAATCTAAGAATTGGTAAGCTGCAAAATAATAAGTGATTGTTTTTGAGTTTAATACTGCTTTAGTGTCACTTCAGGATTGATCACACACAGGCTATTTTCTTGCAGCAATTAACCCCCTTTTTGTTATAGTGAAGGGCATAACTTGCACAATTGATTTCCTGACTATCTATCACAGTTTTGGAGGCCCTAAAAGGAGAGGATAAAACAACACCCCCAAATTACCCCTAGTAGTAGACACTCCAAGGTATTTGGTAAGAGGCATGGTGAGATTTTGTAGATCTCATTTTTTGTCACAAGGTTTTGAAAAACAAATAAGAAAATAAAAAAATACAATTTTGTTTTCTTTCTTAATTTTCCAAAAACTTGTGGCAATAAATGAGATCTGTAATATACCTTTGAGTATCTATTTTCCAGAAAGGGGTAATTTGGGGGATGTTTGTACTATCCCGGCATTTTAGGGCCTTTGAAACCTTAAAAGCCTGAAATTGCTAATTGGATCCTCGGCCCCCGTACTTGGCTAGGCTCCCAAAAAGTCTCACACATGTGGTATCCCCATACTCAGGAGGAGTAGCAGAATGTGTTTTGCTGTACAATGCCACATATACCCATGATATGTGTGTGAAAGAAATATCTCACTAAAGTGACAACTTTGTGTAAAAAAAAAAAAAAAAAAACTTGTGGTAAAAAAATAAAATCTTAACATTACATCGTATGGTGCCACAGCAGCCAATTTTTTTAAGCAACGAATTTCTAGAAAGTGGAATGCTTGCATAAAAGTTGCCTGTGTAAAAATGGTACCCCATACTGAACAAGGGGCAACAAGTCCCACACTATCTTACCACTGCTCCCCATGTAGTCTGGGCACCTGGGCGGCTCCACTAGACTATCTTTTACCTCATAAATTCTATTTTTATTCTCATAAATGTGGCCCTCTCACAGAGCTTATACATTTTGATCCCATATCTGGAACTCTTGCTTGGGAGATATTGCTTAATTGCAAGTCTCCTAGTAAAATGTAGAAGGGACTCGTCTATGCAGATGTTTTGTTTGGGCATTTATACATCTGCAAATGTCTGGGACAGGTAATTTATGAGGGGCTGAATTTTGTGGAGCCGATCATAGTCAGAGTCACCCCAGGGACGTCAGAGGTTATTTTCACTGAAATACATAAAAATGCATTATTATCTCATATCATTTCTTGGCTGTTGCAGCAGAGAACACGGCATATGATGAATCGGGTCTGTGGACCAATATAACCACAATCCACTCTTTTTTGTAATGCCCATGCTAAGGGTGAGAGCCAAAAAGGTTTTACATTCGGAAACTGATAGCTTTCCACTCGAATGGCCTAGCAAGGTATGAATTTGGGTTGGCGGCAATGTAAACATTACTTTGGTCTACAATCAAATTATAGAGGTCTTCGGTGAAAAACAGCTCTGCTAACAGGTGCTGCTGAATTTGGGGGCAGACAATTAGGGTTTGAAACAACCCTCGAAAGCTATTGTGGGCTGTATGGGCCTGTGCTCGAATTCTTGGTGGGTAGGCATTACGCTACTAGTGCTAGCCATTTTACCAGCTTGTACTGCACTGCTGGTGTTCGCCACTTCACCATGAGATGCCAGATCACGAAAAAGCATCTGAGCATAATTATGTGTTTCTATGTGTTTCACATCAGCAACATGGGGCTGGGTACTCCTGATTTTTACCAGGGACCTTTTCACCATCGTCCGAGCTAGCTGTCAGGGTGCAGCTACTTTCTACAGGTTCATATTCTGAGCCTAATTTTGACAATGATGCTTCCCCTTCATCTGACATGCTCAGAATCCTGTAGGCCTCCTCACTAGTGTACCTTTTTTGGACATCTTAGGCATAAACTCTACAGGTACCTAGTGGTGATTATGGGAAAAAGAGCTCCTGGCTAGCAATTAGGGATTGCTTGAGCACGAGAAATAAAATTAATTAGTTTAGTTTTTTAGGGACATCGTACTATTGGGGACCATAGTATAGTTCTAATCGTGATCAGGATACAGACTCAGAGACACTATACCAGTAATGGTGATGGTTTGGCATGACATACAGGTACATTGCTGTGTCTAGGGCAGCTGTCGGCCAGCAGTAAAATTACTATTGGCTGGTTGGTAAGTGGTTAAAATAAGCGACACTTAAGGCAAATGTATATACTTAAAAAAGTATTCATGCTCCTTGAAATTTTCCACATTTTGTCATGTTACAACCAAACAAATAAATGTGTTTTATTGGAGTTTTATGTGATAAACCAACACAAAGTGGTACATAATTGTGAAGTGGGAGGAAAATGATAAATGGTTTTCAAATATTTTTCACAAAGATCTGAAAAGTGTGGCATGCATTTGTATTCAGCCCTCCTGAGTCAAAACTTTGTAGAACCACCTTTCATTGCAATTACAACTGCAAGTCTTTTTGGGTATGTTTCTACCAGCTTTGTACATCTAGAGGGAGACATTGTTGCCAATTCTTCTTCACAAAATAGCTCAAGCCCTGTCAGATTGGATGGAGAGCATCTGTGAACAGCAATGTTCAAGTCTTGCCACAGATTCTCAATTGGATTTAGGTCTGGATTTTGACTGGGCCATTCTAACACATAAACATGCTTTGATCTAAACCATTTCCTTGTAGCTATGGCTGTATGTTTAGGGTCGTTGTCCTACTGGAAGGTGAACCTCTACCCCAGTCTCAAGTCTTTTGTAGACTCTATGTAAGGGATTTCTGGCAAGACGAATCGCAATTAGAAATATGCATGCGCATAGGAACTCCCAGAAAAGATTTGTCGGATGTGCACAGAAATGCGCGATCGTTCGCACGGCAAAGATTGGCACCAGACGGCCTATTTAAAGAGTGTCTCTGCCCATGTTGAGTGCTGACTGGTCTTCAGCTCCCCCGTGTCCTGCTTGTTCCTGTGTGATTCCTTTGTTGCTGACCCAGCTTGTTCCTCACCTGACTCTGATTGCTCTCCTGATTGATACTGGTTCCTGACTTCAGCTCTGTTCCTGACCTTGCCTTTCATTCTGATTCTGTACCGTGCTGCCCGACTGTTGATGACCCTGACTATTCCCATGACACTGCTCCTGTCTCTTACCCTCACTACCTGCCTTGCTCTGGTGCATGCCTGGCAATCTACAAGACCTGCTCTGCTTGTTACTACTGTGCCTGAATCAGAAGATCATCAATCTTCCAGAGTCATCATCTGCAAGAGCTGCAAACAACAACTACTGGCGCTCTTGTTCCCCTGGGTCCTAGACTCCCTCTGTTCCAACTCCAGTGGTGTCAGGGCTAGTGACACAAGTGAGGCCGACCTCGTCATTTCAGTCTCCCATCAGGTACGTGACACTCGAACAGGTTTTCTTCTAAGATTGCCCTGTATTTGACCACATCCATCTTCCCATCAACTCTGACCAGATTCCCTGTCCCTGCTGAGGAAAAGCATCCCCAGAACATGGTCCTACCACCACCATGTTTCATGGTGGGGATGGTGTGTTCATGGTGATGTGCAGTGATAGTTTTCTGCCACACATAGCCTTTTACTTTTAGGCCAAAAAGCTCAATTTTGGTCTCACCTGACCACAGCACCTTCTTCCACATGTTTGCTGTCCCCCCCCACATGGCTTCTCGCAAACTGCAAACGGGACTTCTTATGGCTTTCTTTTAACAATGGCTTTCTTCTTACCACTCTTCCATAAAGAACAAATTTGTAGAGTGCACGACTAATAATTATCCTGTGGACAGATTCTCCCACTGAGCTGTGGATCTCTGCAGCTCCTCCAGTTACCATGGGCTGCTTCTTGACTGCTTCTCTGATTAATGCTCTCCTTGTCCGGCCTCTCAGTTTAGGTGGACGGTCATGTCTTGGTGGGTTTGCAGTTGTGCCATGCTATTTCCATTTTCGGATGATGGATTGAACAGTGCTCTGTGAGATGTTCAACGCTTGGGATATTATTTTATAACCTAACCCTGCTTTAAACTTCTCCACAACTTTATCCCTGAACTGTCTGATGTGTTCCTTGGCCTTCATGATGCTGTTTGTTCACTAATGTTAACTAACAAACATCTGAGGGTCTCACAGAACAGCTGTATTTATACTGAGATTAAATTGCACACAGAGGTGGACTCCCAAAAAATAAATTTACATTTTTGGTTGTAACATGACATAATGTGGAAAATGAATATGAATACTTTTTCAAGGCACGGTATATATTTTTTTAAATAAAACAGAGCTGATACTTACCTGCTCTGTGCAGTATTGTCGCTTTTCTCCTCCTCTGGCAGTCCCTGTTGGCATGGTCAGCTCCCTCCCTCCTTTGGGTGCTTCCTTTATCAAGTCAGGTGCTAAAGAGGCACCTGTGTGTGCCATGCCCCCATTCCTCACAGGAGTTTGACTGACGGCATCAGGAGCATATGGCTCTGCTGCTCTCAGTTTTCCAGTGAAAGCAGGAAGTGAGGGGGGCAGTGTTGGAGCTACAGTGGTGACATGGAGTCAGGTAAATGTTTAGGGATGGGGGTAGGACAGGAAGTGGGGCTTTTAAAGGTAAAAACTGTTTACATTCTAGTACCACTTTTAGTTAGTGATACAGTCTAAAAGAGAAAAACTGATATTATAAAAAAGTGAAAATCTAATCAACCACTTCAATACTGCAGTACATCCATATATGTCATGGTATTCAGGGGTCATGTTTGAGGCTACAACCATGATCCTGGCATCAGTTTTTACTGTCGGAGATTCTGTTTTACATAAAAGTAATCCTAGCAATACCCCGCCTTTATGGCTCAGGTCTGATCAGGTAGCCCAGTAAGGATGTCACTTGCGGCATTGGTTTACCCAGACAAAGTGAGAGGAACTGATGTTGTTCCTCCCACTGTGTGATGTCGACCTTGGTTTGATATGCTGCTTTGGAAGCCAGAGGAGAGATCTGGGGTCTCATAGACCCCAGATCTCTCCATAAAGAGGATCTGTCATGACCCATGCTATCACAAGGGATGTTGCTCATCCTTTGTGATAGCAATAAAAGTGATTAAAAAAAAAACAACCAAAAAAGGTGCAGTGTAAATATGAAAAAAAATAATTAAATAAAGACCTCCAGTGTACCTCTAAACTGGTAACCTATAAAGGCTTTTAAAGTGTTCCATATGGATAAATTTAATGTACCATAGTTTGTCACCATTCCACGGGTGTGTGCAGTTTTAAAGTGTGACATGTTTGGTATTTATTTACTTGGTGTAAAATCATATTTAATATTTTACCAAACATTGGCTATTTTATAGTGTTTGTGTTCACTAAAATTCAATTAAGTGTATTTTAAAAAAAAAAATTGAGTCTGAAAAACGTCTGCAAATACTGTGTAACATAAAAAATATTGCAACACCCACCATTTTATCCTCTAGGGTCTCTGTTTAAAAAAATGTTTGGGGGTTTTCAGGGCTTTTTGCCTCAAAAAATAGGTGCAGGAACACCCCCCTTTGAGTCACTTTATGTCTGCGCCCCCCCCTACTCACCTCCCAGTACGGCTCCTTTTAGAGAATACAAAGCCAAGTATAATTTTGTGAAGCTGAATAATTTGTATAGAATTTATTAATGATAACAAGAAAAGCCAAAAAATAGATCCTCTGCAGCCAGAAACAATAGATTCCTCCAGCAACAATTGGCCCCCAAAACAAAATACTACACCAGCAACAATATACCCCCAGCAGCCAACATCAATAGACTCTCCAGCAGCCAGCAACAATAGACCCCTCCCTCAGCAGTAGATCCTTTCCAGCAACAAGTGACCCTCGTCAACAATAGACCTCCCCAGCAACAATAAACCGCCACACAAAAAAAGATCCCTTTCAATGACAATAGATCCCCCAGCAGCCAGCAACAATAGATCCTACAGCACCCCTTGCCATTATATACATTCAGTTCTGGAGGTGCCAGAACTGTGTTCCCCCACGTTCCTGCTGAAAAAAAAGCCCTGGGGGTTCTAAGTAATGTTGCAAAATGCAGATTTTTTACATGTATGAATGAAATATCAGAATTGGTCCGATATTAGATTTGTTAAAAGTAGTCGTAATCAAGATGCATAGCTTTTGTAAGCTAATAAGCAGCAATGGTTAACCATATTAATGGATTATAAAAATGAACTCTAAAGAAAAAAGTAATGCAACCCCCATATTATAATAGTTGTAACTTCAGCACCTCACATTACCTCATATTTGCAGTATAAAAGTAAGAGATTGCCAAATGTTTCAGGAGGAAAGAGGTTTTGCTGCAACAAAAACTGAAGTTTTTCGAAGCCCTCTGTGGGCTTAGTATCCATGTTCATTAGTGCCTGATTATGAAGAGTCACTGGGTCCAGTTCCTGAAAAAGAAACAATGCTTTATTACACATTGGTGTTGGAGCAGATAAGCCTTTTAGGGTTAGTTCACACCAGTACGCTGTGCTGAGAAGCCTTGTTTTGAGTGTATTTTCTGCAATGCGTTCCATAAGCACTGCAGGTGTGATCTGCAGAGGGTATCAATATTAATCCCTTTGCACCCATGCCTCCAGGCCCTGTAAGAGTTTCAGAAGCTGGGACGGGGTTTTAGGGTCATGTGACCGCTGTGATTCGCCATCACGGTGGTCACATGATCAGAAAAGGTCCCGATCGCAAAGGGAGATCGGGACCTTTCCGTGAGTCATGGACATATATGTGCTGGGAGCGCGCACTCTCAGCACATATGTATTTTCTAATGGCACACAAATATGTGGCCACTTGGCGTCAAGGCCCAGACGCCGAGAGGCCACATATTTGTATGCGTTTGGCATCTAAGGGTTATGTTAATGACAAGTACCATGCGACGCATTTGCAGTGAGTTTCCAAAATTAGTGCATGCACCACTTTTGGTACAACTTGAATGGGCTGAAATCACATCACACAGAACTGCATGTCTATTGCACAGGAATGCACAGAGCATTTCTGTGCGCTTCCCGGAGTGAACTGGTCCTTATTATATAATCATTTTTTTATATACCAAAGTTTTACATTGTATCAACCAGAGTAAAATCAGAGCCTTGCAGTTAGTCCTTTTGAGTAAATAATACACAGTGTAATTCAAAAGGTATACAGAATTTCACAAGATACTTTTTTACACAAGATTCTCAAGATTACACAAGATTCTTTTTTACACATAAAGAGCAAGTTAACTAGAGTAATATTAGAGGTTATAATAAATAAGTGCAGCACTAGAAATTAGTATTGATATTGTCTGTCCCACGTTAGAAAATTCAATAAAATTTCAATAAATAAATTGCCCAATAAATGAATGAAGGTGACAGTCTGTGCAAATAAAATGGTGCGGAATCACAATAAAATCCAGTGGCGGTGCTCCAAATAGTGTGGTAAATTACGCACTCACCAGATGCGTAATATAAGTACGCAATGTATGAATCAGTAGAGGTCTCCTTTACAGATATAGGTCTGAGACACGGATAATCCTTCCTCAAGGTAGTGTTGTTACGAGCCCACAGGAGAATAAAAAAGATCCAGCTGGCCAGAGGTCCCTTTAAGGGATGGATGGGTATAGGTGCCTGCTTACAGGAACTCCCTTCTCTGGATTCGATGGGTGGCTGGATCAGGCGGGCTCTATGAATAAATAGCACTTTGGTGCCACCCTCCTCCAGTAGTGATCAATTCCATTATTAAAATACAAGACGGCTAACCATCTCACATTTACATCCAAGGAATGATTTGTGAAAATATTCAGCAGGACACTGTAGAAGCCAGGCTGCGTCTCCCACTACTTGAGTTGCTCCTCAGCTGGTTTCAATACGGATGATTCTTGGCTAGTTGCTCGTGTCAAGACCTGCAACACAACGGTGCTGGCACTATTCAGATCCATAAGGAACCACACTGCCTTCCCCAGTCCAATCCACTCTGGAAGTAGAAGACTACCAATCCCGGTAGCTATCGGTGACGTCAAGTGGATGCGCCTTTCTGGCTGGCGGCACGTTGTCGGTGATCAGTCTGGGAAGAGAGGAGTCACCATGCCGAAAGTGAGAGCAAAGAAGAGCCGGACACACCGGGAGGTCCGGAGTCAGGGTGAGTGGTGAGGAGAAGAATGGGGATCTGTTATTATTGGGTGGAGGGTTCACTATCCGTGTTTTTTATTTAATATTAGAGGTTATCAGCCAAGTCTATACTGTATATATATGTATCAACTGTTTTGTGTTTGAAATGATTTGGGGCAGCACAGTGGCCAAATGGTTAGCACTTCTGCCTGGCAGTACTAGAGTCACTGGTTCGAATTCAACCACGGCATCACCTGCCTGGAGTTTGCATGTTCTCCCTGTGTTTGTGTGGGTTTCCTCTGGGTACTCCGGTTTCCTCCCACACTCCAAAGACATGCTGGTAGGTTAATTAGATCCTGTCTAAATTGTCCCTAGTATGTGTATGTATGAATGTGAGTTAGGGACCTTAGATTGTTCGCCCCTTGAGGGTTAGGGACTGATGTGAATGTACAATATATATGTAAAAGCGCTGCGTAAATTGATGGCGCAATACAAGTACCTGAAATGAATAAAAAAACAAATTTGTAAATCAATTCAGCTCCTCTTGAGATTCACTCACCCATGCCAGACACCACCTTACTTACTGAATTTAAATCAATACAGCTTGGTCAAGGACTCGTTTTTAGACTGCAAGTTGGTGTTGAAGGAGAAGCTGCACACAAAAAAAGGGCATCACTTCGCTCTCTCTCCTCCATCCAAAGGAGTCTATTATAAAGATAAATTGATCCACTATATAAAAATGCATTTAGGACCAATTCATGCCAGTGCGTTGATCTGCGTTTTAGTGCAGCTGTAAAACGAAGATCAATGGAAGGACATCTGAAAAACAATAATTTCCAATGTGTCCTATTCACACCATAACTCTGCTCATGCATCTAAATGAACGTAAACAGACGTCCGTGCGCATTAAAATGGATGGAAATGTACTTGCATTTTCCATACTTTTCAGTTCAAATCAGTGTGAATTGGCTCTTAAAACACAACTATATTTTCATACTGGGCTCCTCTGTTTCACACCCCCTAAAGAAATAGCCTGTGCTAACACTGTCCACCACAGCTTCTAACTTATGTCTGTATCTGAGGCACATTCTGCTGCAATGTTTTCTTCTACTTGGACAGAATACTTCAGCACTAGCCGCTCCTGCACAGACTTGTACGTAGCTGTTGTGGGCAATGGTCAGTCCTATACAAGTCTATGAATTCACAGTCTGCAATCTCTTTTATTGTACAGGTTTTCAAGCCTACTTGTGTCATGAAACGTATTTCGACTTTTAATTTCTACAAACGTGTTTCCAAAAATTTCAATAATAGAAAAATTACAGTTTAAAAAAAAAATGCTTCTAAAATTACAATATTAACAATATACCAATCACACTAGGATCCCAAGGAAAGTCAACAAGTAATGTCAAATTAAGTATAGAATTCACATTGTGCCAACATCTTAAAAGTTTAGAACATTTTTAAATATATGGGCAGGAGATCTCTGGCATCATCTGCACAATGACAATTATATAAGATATCTTTAGAAGTAATTACTTTGAGGTGAGATATGTTCTATAAACAATGTTTAATTGTGTGTGAGCAAATGAAAATCTTTGGCAGGTTTTGCAGCAGTTCACCTCACTACTCTTGATGTATTTTTCCTACTTTGCCCCTCTTAGTACTTGGTACTAGACGTGCAGTTCATTTTGTTCCGAATCAAAATTCTGAAAAAATTGTCATTATTCGGAGATTCGGATGTACAGTATCCAAGATTCTGAATTACAATATTAACAAATTTAAGAAAATCCAAAATAATGAAACGAAACTTCATCCAAAATATCAAATTATCCAAATTCAAATCGGATTCAAAACAAATCTAAAAATGAAAACAAATTCAAAAACACATTCGAAATGTAAACATACTGCTGACTATTGCTGATTTCCTTGAAAGACTGTGTGTATTAGAATATAGCTGTCTCCCGAAATTGAAATTTTGAAAAGAATAGAAAAAAGAATAAAAGAGAATAGAACAGAATAGAATAGAATAAAAATATAGAATAGAACAGAATAGCAAAATATAGAATATAAAGAATATAGCTGTCTTCCAAAATTTGAATTTTGAAATTCCAATTATGAATGAAAAAGAATAGAATAAAATACAAAGAATATATCAGTATTCCAAAATTCGAAAAGAATAGAATGGAATAAAATAGAATAGAATAGAATTGAAAATAAAAGAATAGAATAGAAAAAATATGGCAGTCTTCTGAAATTCAAAAATAGAATAAAATAGAATAGAAAATAAAAAAAATAGAAAAAAATAGAATAGAATAGACGGAATATAGCTGTCTTATGAAATTTGAAAAGAATAGAATAAAACAGAATATAAAATAAAAGAATAGCATAGAAAATAAAGGAATAGAATAGGAAAGAATAAGAATATATTAGAATAACATAGAAAATAAGAGTAGAAAAAAATACAATAGATTAAAATAGAATAGAATAGAAAGAATATAGCTGTCTTCCGAAATTTGAATTTAGAATACAATAGAATAAAATAGAAAGAATATAGCCATCTTCTGAAATTTTAAATAGAATAAAACAGACTAGAACAGAATACAGTAAAATAGAATAGAATAAAATAAAAATATAGAATAAAAAATAAAGGACTATAATAGAAAAGAATAGAACAGAAATGAATGGAATAGGAAAGAATACACTAGAATAGAACAGAAAATAATAGAACAGAAGAGAATTGAATAAGAGAATAGAATAAAATAGAAAGAATACAGCTGTCTTCTGAAATTCGAATTTCAAATAAAATAGAACCAGCTATTCTTCACAATGAATTCAGATCGATTCAACATTGTGGATTCAAATCCGATTTGAATACTTTGAATTCAACTGAAAAATTTGAATTGGGTAAAAACCAATAAACAAAACTAAATGAAATGATTTTGTTACCAATGCAACAAAAAAAAATTAGCAACTTAACTAATCAATCTGAAATGAAAACCATTTTTTTTTCATTCTGCACATGTCTACTTGGTACTGTTATATTTCCACATAAAATTACAATAGGTCTCTGATATTTTTATGGTTACACACCATGGTATTCAACAGGGGGATATTTCAGCTACATTTGGGTACATTCTTGTTCACCCAAACGTTTGGCATATCAAAAGTGTAGTTTACCGAATTCCTGATTTAAAATTTAAAACCAGGTGGTAGGATTAAAATTGATTGTCCTGTTGTAAAGTGGTTTTATTTTCCCACAGATCTTGTACATAAAAGGAGATACTGTGGGAGCCCAACATCTTAACTTTCAGGGCTCCTGGAAGATTGTTCACAGACTAGGGATGAGGAAATGAGGGATACACTTATTTAATTTTAGCATGTCTTTCAATCCCTCTAAAATGCTTCATGAGTCTGTTAATATTACATAGTTAGTCTGGCTGAAAAAAGACAAAAATCCATCCAGTTCAACCATTAAAAAAAAAAGTTATAATCCTACACCCACAGTTGATCCAGAGGAAGGCAAAAAACCCAGCAAAGCATGATCCAATTTGCTCCTGCTGGGAAAAAATTCCTTCCTGATCCCCCGAGTGGCAATCGGATATTTTCTGGATCAACCTTATCTATAAATGTTAGTATCCAGTTATATTCTGTGTATCTAAGAAACAATCCAGGCCTTTTTTAAAGCAATCCACTGAGCTGGCCAGAACCAACTCTTGAGGGAGTCTATTCCACATTTTCACAGCTCTCACTGTGAAGAAACCTTTCCGTGTTTGGAGATTACATTTATTTTCCTCCAGATGTAAAGAGTGTCCCTTGTCCTCTGATAACCTCAGGGTGAATAACTCTACACCGAGTTCACTATATGAACCACTGATGTATTTATACATGTTGATCATATCTTCCCTTAATCTCCTCTTCTCAAGAGAGAATACATTCAGTTCTTCTAATCTTTCCTCATAGCTGACCTCCTCCAAGCCTCTTATCAGTTTGGTTGCCCTTCTCTGTACTTTCTCCAGTTCCCCAATGTTCTTTTTGTGAATTGATGCCCAAAACTGAGCTGCATAATCCAGATGAGGTCTTACAAATGATTTGTACCGGGGTAATAGGATATCTCTCTCTCTGGAGTCTATACCTCTTTTAATACAAGAGAGGATTTTGTTCGCTTTAGAAACTGCAGCTTGGCATTGCATGCCATTATTAAGCTTGTGATCTACCAGAACTCCCAGATCCTTCTCCACCATTAATTCCCCCAGTTGTACCCCCCCTAGTATGTATGATGCATGCATACTCTTAGCCCCCAAGTGCATAACCTTACATTTATCAACATTAAACTTCATTTGCCACATAGTTGCCCAATTAAACAGTGCATTGAGGTCGGCTTGTAAATTGGAGACATCCTGTAAGGACATTATTCCACTGCACAGCTTGGTGTCATCTGCAAAGACTGAAATGGTATTTTTAATCCCAGACCCTATATAGTTTATAAATATATTAAAAAGTAAGGGTCCCAACACTGAACCTTGGGGTACACCACTGACAACCCTAGACCATTCAGAGTATGAATCATTAACCACTACTCTCTGAATACGATCTTTTATCCAGTTTTCTATCCATTTACATACGGATTTTTCCAAGCCCGTAGACTTTACCTTACACATTAACCGTGTGTGGGGATCTGTGTCAAACGTTTTTGCGAAATCCAATCCAATACTGTAAAAGGTTTTGCATGGTATCCATACTGGGGTGATGTGACAGTCATACAGTAACTGAATCATATAATAAAATGAACTCTCCTAACTGATGAAATCAGTAGCTTACATCACGATGAGAGGGGTTTCTATCTGTAGGGATGTTTATATAAAAGTACAAAATTTAATCTAAGAAATACTTTATACAGAGAGAGGTGTACTGTATGTCATGAGGCTTGTAGGAGCTTCAAGTCTATTGATCTTTGGTCAACATGATATCTGTACCTCTTCAGATCGTGGCGGCATATCTGTTAGTGCTTCCTGTGCTGCATCATCTAGGAGAGAATCATTCAATGAAAACACTTTATTTCTAAGAAAATTGTGATACACAACAGTAAACTGTTTTCTGAATACAATATGAGAATGGATGATAATGTACTGTTCCTATTTTTTATAGCAAAAATGATTTCATCAATTGTGATTACAATTAAAGTGTTACTAAACCCACAACAGTAAAATCAGTCAGTATATGCAGTAAAGTACAGTTTGCTTGTTATACTCACTGTGGAACATAAGGAGTTAATCTTCCGCATTGTGTAACCCTAGGTTCACACCTATGCAGTCTGCGCTTGATCCGTTTCTGCAGTACTTTTTGTGGTGCATTTTGCATTTTTTGGACATGCAGTTTTGATGCATTTGGCTTTTTTTCCCCCAACTTGTTGCTGGGCAGATTAAAACACAACACATCAAAACACGTCTAAAATGCATCACAAATGCACTACATGCATTTCTGCAGCATCTCCATTGAAGTCTATTAAACCAAAATGCAACTTTTTGTGTTTAAAGAAGTCCCTGACCCTTTCCAAAAAAACACAACGGGTGAAAATGTGGAGATGTGAATGTGTCTCATGTTGCATCATGTTAAATGGATTGTACTGCGTTTCTGCAAAATGCAAAACGCACAGCAAAATGCTTAGGTGTGAACCTAGACTTAAAGCGATTCTAAAGGTTGATTTTTTTTTTGTAGGAAAATAACAAACATGTTATACTTACCTGCATCGCGATGAGGCTCAGGAAAGTATTGAGGGGGCTGAGGGGGCTGGGGGAGCTGGTGCACACAGAGTTTTTTACTTTCATGCATAGAATGCATGAAGGTTAAAAAAAACTTGAGCTTTTACAACCACATGGTACAGCGGGCACTGGTCGCAGTGCCACGCACTCCCAGGGAGTGTGCACAGGCTAAAATGGAAGGCACCGTTTATGAACGGCAACCTTCCCCTGTACTGCTCCCATCCAGCCATTTATATACATGGGGCCGGACGGGAAGTGGTTAAAGAAGGTTCAAATGGAGAACTCTTGAGTTTGATCACATGATCTTTGGCCTCTCTAGGGTTTCCAGCCCGCAAGACAGATGATTCCAATAAACTGCAGTGATAGGCTTAGAAGTAGGCATTATTCATGGACAGCCCTACTAAGCTTAAAGCATATCTATGGTCAAAATTTTAAATTCTATATTCATTTCTATTTTGAATTTCATTCATTTCTATCCTACTCTTATTAATTTGAATACTCTTAAGGTTGGAAAATTACTTTAGGAAGATACTCACACATTTACTGCCTTCTGTGACACATATTCCCAATGCACTGTGAGTAGGCACTGCTGTTTCATACATTTCACAGAGCCTGCCTTCTGAACTACAGAGGTGTTGAGAGGAGGAATTTCAGGAGGTGGAGTCAATAAAAGATGTCAGTTTGCAGTCAACAAGGTACCATGAGATATGTGGTCCTTAGAAATTGAAAGTATTGGGAATAACCAGTGGGGGTAAAATTCATAAATGTGTACTCTTTGCACTTTAGTTTCACGTACTGGTACATCGCCGCCTACTTCTGGGATAAGGGGGCATGTGCACGCCCCCATGCCCAGCACCCCTGTGAGTATACACAGCAGGGCCTGTCAGCAAGTCCTGGTCAATGATTCATGGCTGGGACCTGCTGATTGTCTGTGTGCAATCACAGCCCCCAGCTCTATACAGTTAGTGAAAGCAAAACACTGTACACACATTACACATAGTTAAGCACATATTTAACCCCTTGATTGCCCTAGATATTAACTCCTTCCCAGCCAGTGTCATTATTACAGTGACAGTGTGTAGTATTATCACTGATCACTGTATTAATGTTACTGGTGATGTCAGTTTCAGTTAGTCAGCATCATTTAGTGTCAGTACTGCAGTCCCCTTATAAGTCGCTGATCGCCGCCATTAGTAGTATAAAAACAAATTTAAAAATAAAAATTCTAGTATATATACCATAGTTTGTAGATGCTAAAACTTTCAAGCAGACCAATCAATATACACTTATTGGAATATTTTGTATCAAAAACTGGAATTAGAATACATTTTGGCTACAATTTATAAAGAAATGTGATATTTAAAAAAAAATTTAAACTGGATATGTTTTATAGCAGAAAGTAAAAAAATAAATAAAAAAATAAAAAAAAAAAAAAAAATATATATATATATATATATATATTTTTTTTTTTTTTTCAAAATTGTCGGTCTTTTTTCATTTATAGGACAAAAAATAAAAAATCAAGTGGTGATCAAATACCACCAACAGAAACCTATATTTGTGTGAAAAAAATGATAAAAAATTTAGTTTGGGCACAGCGTTGCATGACTGTTCAATCGCCAGATAAAATAGCACAAAGCCGCCATGGGGGCACAAATGCCGGCTCGCTCCCAAGCCGCCCTGTCTGTGTATGTTGACATAGAACAGGTGGACTCCGCCCCATCTCCTGCTCCCTCATCACAGCTTTTCTTTGACAGCAAGTGCCCTCGTCACAGCATTTCTTTGATGGCAAGTGCCCCCATGGAAAGCCACTTTTCATGGGGGCACCTGTGCAGCCTCGCTCCCAACAAAGCAGGCAACTCGGCCTGATCCCCCGCTCCCTCGTCACAACATTTCTTTGACAGCTGCTATCAATCTTCTCAGTGAGGAGGGATACAGTGGCTAGAGCTGCTGCTCTCATGCACATCGCTGGATCAGATTGGGCTTTGGTAAGAATAAGGGGGGGGGGGGGATCTGGGGGATCTTACAGCACAGAAGGTTTTTTTTACCTTAACGCATAGAATGTATTAAGGTTAAAAAAACCTTAAGGATTTAGAACCACTTTAAGCACAAAGTGCCATGGTGTCTTGGTGACATGTTTTTCTCTAAAATACAAATCATCTCGATAAACTGTTCATCACACTACCATAGCAACATTTAGAAAATGTAAAAAGTGCCATGAAAGTTACTTATGGATTTAATAAAATGTCACCATTTAATATACTGTGCCTACTGCAAGCAGATAGTCTTTAAATTCTGTGCACAATACTATGGCGAACAGGTCTTGCTACTGCATAGAAAACAATGGTGTAACCAAACTTAATAGTGTCTGTGGATTATTTTGTGCGTAAAACAGCCAATATATACGCTCATCCACCTTCAAAATTTACATTTGTATTTGACCAAAATGTATAAATATTGAGCTTACTATTTTTTAACTGGTATTCAATAGCAGCCTTGAGGTTAAAGGCTTCAATTAACGCAGTTTCATGCAGCACCAGGGTGTTTCCAACACTGCGCACATCAATGCCTTCTGTTTTCATGCCAACCCCGAGCTCTGGAGGAAAACACAAAGAACTAAATTTCTAGATGCACAATAGAAAAATGATAAATCACTAAGGCAACAATAAAGCTAAATACTTCCTTGGAGCTTTAGCACATAAAAAAATTAGTAGATAAAGCTTGTGTTAACATTCTGATTAATAATAGGCAACCTTATTTTGCAATAATAAGATGTCAGTAAACACAAACGGCTTGTAGTAATCTCACTATAGGCAGGATAGAAATCGGGACTTGTCTTCAAGCTGGCGCAAAAACATGCCCCTCTACCATCATACAATACAATGTTTGTGGATATACACATTGCATTTTGAGTGAAGAGAGGAAACTGTTCTGTCTTTGCCCAAATTTGACAGCAAACAAATTTAGAGTGATCTAATTGGACTTGTTCTAGTAAGGGAAGTATTGCTCAGATATTTCTGTCTGTGAATCCACTAAAAAGGTTATTCCTATACTACTGTTCCTATGACACCAAGACATGAAATAGGTGGAGTGGTTGTCACTAGGACAGGAAGCCACAGTCATGATTAAAAATTTTTAGAAAGAAGGGAAAAATAAAGCTCTCATTAGAAAGCTTGAATAGTGGAGTCTATTTATTCAGATTGTTCAGTTAGCATGGTCAACATGGGTTACCTTTACAAAAAAAACTTTAGTTTTGTTGATTATCATAATATATTTGATGCCCAGACCATTATGTAAATTGATTTTACAGTTTAGCTTCTTATTTCAATCTGTAGCTATGACTTGCTAAAACTGGCATAGTAAGTTTTTCTTGCAACTGTGAAAAATTACTGTGTGGGCCATAAAAAAAAAAATTTGCTATGCAAGCCAGTCATTTTTCAAAAATTATGTATAAAATTTGAAGTAATATTTCAGGAATCTTCAGCACTGTTAACTGCAGTCTTTCAGTGATTGTGATATACTGGCCAAGAGTAATAATACTGGCTCTGATCATGTATTATTAGGAGGCAGACACTCCTACTCACGTAGGACTTACTGCCGTTTCAGTATCTACAGAACACAAGCATGTAAAAAGCTGCAATGACATTCTCTAAAATCCTTGCAATAAATATAATTTACCTGAAGATTCATTTTTAAAAGAAATTACGAGTTTCACTTTAATAATAACATACAGTACACCCTGAAACATACAGTTAGGTCCATATATATTTGGACACAGGCACAATTTTCATACTTTTGGCTCTGTATGCCACCAGAATAAATTAAAATGAAACAATCCAAATGAATTTGAAGTGCAGACTTTCAGCTTTAATTCAAGGGGTTGAACATAAATATCAAGTACAAATTTTAGGAACTGCAACCATTTTTATACCCAGTCCCTCCATTTTCAGGGGTTCAAATGTAATTGGACAAATGAATATAATCTTATATAAAATGTTCATTTTTAATATTTTGTTGAGAATCCTTGTATTTGATCTCATGAACTCTTCTCTTGATTGTAGACTTTATAATGATACGCCCACCTCCTGGAGAGTGTCCTTCACTTGTCTGGATGTTGTGAATGGGTTTTTCTTTACCATAGAGAGGATCCTGCGATCATCCACCACTGTTGTCTTCCCTGGATATCCATGCCTTTTTATGTTGCTGAGCTCACCAGTGCGTTCTTCTTTCCTCAGAATGTACCAAACTGTTGATTTGACCACTCCTAATGATGCTGCTATCTCTCTGATGGATTTGTTTAGTTTTTGAAGCCTTACAATGGCCTGTTTCACTTGCATGGACAGCTCCTCTGAACGCATGATGTAGGTTCACAGCATAAGATTCCAAATGCAAATACCACACTTAGAATCAACCCCAGACTATTTACCTGCTTAATTGATGAAGAAATAATGGAGTAGCCCACACATGGTCATGAAACAGCTTTTGATTCAATTGTCTTATTACTTTTGGTCCCTTGAAAAAGGGGGGATGGCTACTCTTGAAAGCTGTAATTCCTAAACCCTTCCTCCAATTTGGATGTACATACCCTCAAATTAAACATGAGAGTGTGCACTTTCAGGCCAAATCCATTATATAACTATAGCTTGAATATGTTTTGGTCAATACCTGAAAAAAACTAAAATTGTGCCTGTGTCCAAATATATATGGACCAAACTGTATATAACTTTTAATTTGACAAAACTTGTGGTTTTTACCTGGATGTTCTCTGATGCCATGTTCTATTATATCTGCAATGTGCTTTAAAGCTGGTGCATATTGTTTCATGCTATAGTAACACAAAGCAATGTTGTAAGATAAATCTGTCCAAACAGAAAAATAAAACAAAGAAAAGTTAAATGAAACAAAAAATACAAATCACCATTCTGCAATTGCCCAACAATGCTCCTATTCTAAATCAACTACTGCAAAACCACAAGTACAGGAATATTAAAAACAAAATAAAGGTTTACGGGTTGATTTACTAAAATTGGAGAGTGCAAAATATGGTGCACCTGCGCATGTTAGCCAACTTCTAACTTTAGCTTGTTCAAATAAGCTTTGACAGAAAAATCTGGAAGCGGATTGGTTTCTATGCAGAGCTGCAACAGAGTTTGCACTCTCCAGTTTTAGTAAATCAACCCCTTACTGTGTCTAGGCCCCAGATGCAGAAGTAAGTTAAAGTATTCTGTTATGAGGAAGAGGAAAGGGTAAGTCCTGTCTCTAGTTTAGCCCTAGCATGTTTTCTGTTCTACGGTGACACTCCTGCTCATTCATAGATAAAGTACATTAAGTAAGCATTGTCACCCTAGGACAGGAAGTGTATTACGCAGAATCAACCAGTGCAAACATAGAAACAAAAGCCACAAAATAAAAAAAAACTAATGGTGGGACTACATCTGAGGACTGGTAATCTGCCACTTAGGCCTCATGCACACTGGGCTTAAAGAAATTCCACTTTTACAGGCATTTTTTTTTTAGCCTGTGAAAGCTCCTTTATGTTAGCCTTTGGAGGTTAATTTACTAAAGGCAAATAGGCTGTGCAATGCAAGTGCAATTGCTCCAGATCTAAGGGGAACATGAAAGAAAAAAATAAAAAAAACTGAATTTTTTCCTTGTATATGATTGGATGAAAGAAATCAGCAGAGCTTCACCTCATTTCAGAGCTACCTCTTGGATATAAAGCAACTGCAATTGCAGTGCACAGTATATTTACCTTTAGAAAATCAACCCCCATGCGTCCATGCACATACAGGAGTTAACCGGTTTCCCCGCCACTCTATAGCAGAACTACTGCTACAAGGCTGAGCAAAATCATGTGTGTGTGTGTGTGTGTATATATATATATATATATATATATATATATATATATATATATGTGATTTTGCATTTCCAGGTAAGGGGTGCGTGAGTGCCGCCCTACCCGAACTGCCATTGCCAACTACAGCTGCCAATCACTGGGTCCCGGGCGGAGATTCCCCGCCGGCACCTGGCAATCGACGAGGAACACTGATAGGAGAGAGGTCTGTATGTAAACAACACAGATCTCTCCCCTGTCAGCACTGACATGCTGCTTTGTATTGCTCTACATAGCAGACACAGCACACACAGTAAAACAGCACACAGTTAACCCTTTGATCGCCCCAGATGTTAACCCCTTCCTGCCCAGTGCCATTAGTATAGTGTCAGTGCTTTTTATTAGCACTGATCACTGGGGATGTCAGTGGCAGTTAGTCAGTCCCTCCGTATCAGAATGCCCACCGTAGCCCTGCTATAATTCACTGATCGCCACCATTACTAGTATGTAAAAAATAAAAATTCCAGTATATATACCGCCATTTGTAGACGCTATAACTTTCACATAAACCAATTAATTTACATGTATTGGGATTTTTTTAGCAAAGACATGTAGCAGAATACACTTTGGCCTAAATTTATGATGAAATTAGATTTTTTAAATTTTTTTACTGAATATGTTTTATAGCAAAAAGACAAAATTATTGTTTTGTTTTTTTTTTTTTAAATTGAGACTAGGAGGTAGAGTTGCATATCTATCCATGGATGATGGATGATTTTAATATGGTTTTTTTTGTAAATAAACCTTTTTTTATATAATTTTAACAGCTGATATGTCTTATATTGGTACCTCAAAAAGTCCTATAGAGGTTGGTACCTTATTGTATGTGAGTGATAGATAAGGGAAGTGAGTACCTATTTAAAGAGTTTTTACACTCATATGAAAAGCTTATTAGATTTGTATAGTGCTGAGAACCAGATGCTGGTCTAAACCTAGCTGCAGGAAAGAGCATGCATTCACTGGGAAATTTCCAGGGTGGAAGCCCTGCGACTCACATTAAGTGAAATACTGTATGCCTTATAAACATATTCGATTAAAGACCTAGCAGGAAGTAAACTTTCTAGAATTTAGCATTGTAGAAATCACAGATTGAGAGATGCCCCTGTCCTTCAGAACCTGGGATTCAACAGCCATGCCAATAAAAGCAGTTACTGTGAAAACAGGATGGCGAATCAGTCCTTGAGACAAAAGATCCTGGTAATCTGGCAGTACCCACGGAGCATCTGCCAGGAGTTTTACCAAGTCAGCATGCCATATTTGCTTGAGCCAGCCCAAAGCAATGAGGATCACCAGAATACCCTCCATCTTGATACTGTGAAGCAGAAGAAACATTTTCTGGGGAGGAAAAGCAGAGATCAGGGTACACTAAACCCATGGAGCCAACAGAACATCCGTTGCTTTTACCTGAGGAGCCTTCTACCTGGAGATAAAGATGTCCAGTATGTTGTTACACCTGGATGGCAGGAAATCCACATTTAGCATTCCCCAACAGCAACACAGATCTTGTCCAAGCTCTACTGGCTAAGGCAATCTGCCTGGCAATTGTCTATGCCTGGAAAGTACACAACTGACAAGGCTAGGACTGATGTTCTGCCCCGGAAAGGGTCTGTTCTTTGGAAGTCTTCTGGTTTCTCCCAGATAAACTATGTTCCTCACTGGGTCAGAATTATCTGACTAAATTGGGATCGGAGGACTTTCCAGCAGAATGGTCCAAAGCTGCAGAGGCAGTCAAATAGACAAATACTCCAGGATGTTAATCGGGAGACTAGACTTCTACAAAGACCAAGTACCCTGCACTGACAGGGTGCCAAGATTTCCTTCCTTAACTAACAGGCTGGCATCCATCCATCGTGAGGATCCTCTAAATGAAAGAACATCCCCAGCTCTGGAGCCTGATTCCTTAGCCTCAAGCTAGGGACAACCTGGTCAACAAGTCTTTCTTGAGATCAGATTGACTTATCCTACATGAACAAAATGTTGTGTTGCAGAGATCTGGAATGAAACTGGGCAAATGGAATAGCCTCAAAGGAGGATATCAGGCCGAGAGCTCTCACGCAAAAGCAGCGAGTGTGGCGGTTCGTAGACTGGAGAGTTCATATTTGATAGTTCAAGTCCAGAGTGTACCCAAAACTAAAAAACTAAAAGTTTCCATAATAAATACATTTTAATGTACATGGGTAACAAACAGAAGCAGGTCAAAAGCAGCATGCTTTTACGTTGGGGTAATGCTTCAGGTGTATTTTAATGTATTTAACATGTCTTCACATTAACTTTTGACCACTGACTTTTGTAAATGAAGCAGAGCTATACATGAAAAAGAAATCATAAGCCCAAGTATACACCGATCAGCTATACCTTTATGACCACCCATTTAATATTGAGTAGGTGCCCCTTTGGCTGCCAAAAGACTTCAAAGACCAGGTTCACACTAATGAGGTGTGGGAAACGCTGCGAATCCTGTGAGTATCCTGCACCGCATTGCAATCGCGTCGCGTTCATGTGATCTGGTGCATGTGATCTGGTGCATGTGCCAATGTTAAAATAATGACTCTCTGAAACAGCCATATTCGATGTGATTGCCAGAAATCGCATCGCAGGGGTGAGAACACCCATGTGATGCGATTCAAAGTGCAGATAAAAAAAGGGTCCAGCACCTTTTTGGTGTAGATGTGATGCGATTTGAGCCATACAAAATATATGGCTCAAATTGCACCGCACAGACTTTGCATGTGGTGTTATTCCTGTGCAAATTACATGCGGTGTCCTGCACCACATTAGTGTGAACCATCATTAATCACTTGTCTACCGGGCACTTATACCCCTTTTCTGCCCAGGCCAATTTTCAGCTTTCAGCGCTGTCGCACTTTGAATGACAATTGCGTGCTCCTGAGACACTGTACCCATATGAAATTTTTATCAATTTTTCACACAAATAGAGCTTTCTTTTGGTGGTATTTAATTGCCACTGGGTGTTTTATTTTTTGCGCTATAAACAAAAATAGAGCAAAAAATTTGAAAAAAAAAATTTTTTACCTTTGTTTTTATTATAAAATTTTGCAAACAGGTAATTTTTCTCCTTCACTGATGTGCGTTGATGAGGCAGCACTGATGGGTGGCACTGCTGGGCACAGGTAGGTGGCACTTCAGGGCAGCACTGATGGGCACAGGTGGGTGGCACTGCAGGGCACAGCGTGAGGAAAGTGCAGCCGATAACTGGCAACTGTATTTACCTGGTGATCTGCTGTGTCATTGGACACAACTGATCACGTGGTAAAAGGCTGCCGTGATTGGTCGTTTACCATATCCCATGATCAGCTGTGTCTGTAGGACACAGTGATCACCAGCGGCACTGGGTGCGCGCTGCTGGGGGCATGCAGGGAGCGTGTTCTGGAATGACGTCCATGGGCGTCGTCCCAGAACCAGACAACCGCGCTGTCCTTCGGCCATAGCGCGGTAGGGAACTGGTTAAGGATATGTTGTGGAACCAAGTCGTCAGTAGCAAATCCTTTAAAGTGATTGTAAAGGATATCTTTATTTTTGCTTTAAAATGAAAGAGGTTATACTTACCTGTTCTGTGCAATGATATTGCACAGGTCGTCTCTAAACTCCACCTCTGGAGTCCCCAGCCACCACTGTCAATTCCTTCTACCTCTGTGTGCCCCCTCACCAAGCTATGTGCTGAGGGGAAACCCATGCAGGCATGCTCCTGAGCTAGGCAGTGTGCATCCATAAACACACACAGTGCCGGTAAGCCACGCTCCCACTCCTTCCTCACGGGAGTTTGACAAACAGCAGTAGAAGTCTCCTAGGAAACCAAGTGAAGTGAAGGAGTGCGTTGGATTGGACAGCGTTGAAGAACAGCGTTGGATTGGTGAGAGGAGCCAGGTAAGTGTTTAGGGATGGTGGGGACAAATAGTGGGAATGCATTAAAGGTAAAAAAAAATATATATATTTTTTTATTTTAGAACCACCACGGTAAGTCCTTTAAGTTGGGAGGTGGGGCCTCCATGTATAGGACTTGTTCTTCCAGCATGTCCCACAGATGCTTGATTGGATAGAGATCTAGAGAATTTGGAGGCCAGGTCAAAACCTCAAACATGTTGTGTTCCTCAAACCATTCTTGAACCATATTTGCAATGTGGCAGGGCACATTATCCTGCTGAAAGAGGCCACTGTCATCTTTCATCATCACAATATAGGTGTGAAGAGTCCCATAGGATTTAAAGAGCTAAATTTTTCATGCATTTTAGTTCTGCTTTTTATACGCCAAAAGCGCATCAAAAACTGATCAGTGTGAAAAGGCCCTAAAAGTCAAATCATCTTGTTTTGCATTTACTCTTATTGTACCTTGTTTATATCCCACAACTTGCATGGCAGTGAGGAATTTTTTGCAAGCCTCTTCATACTGTCCTTCTTTGTAGAGCAGGCAGCCCAAATTTATCTCACTATCTGGATCATCGGAAGGCATCTGTTCTACTAAGCCCTGAAAAGAACCACAAACTTAAATTTAGACTTCAAAGAAAAGGAAAACAGTCCCGCTTAATGTAAACATATAAAATACAAAAACACTTGATATTAATATTGCACACTATCCAATGCAATAACTGAAGAACTTCAAAACCATTTTAGGGTTATATAAAATAGCTGCACCTGGCACTTTCAAGCTCCAGAGCAATAAAGTATTAGGGTCAATGTAACAGCATTAAACAACCTAGTGATGGCTTCCAATAACCATAACATTATCCAACCTGCTTCTCACATCCACTGCTGATCCACAATTGAATCAGAGAGAAGTAAATAGGAGTCATTTCATTTCTGCACTGTCAAGTGCACATCATAAAAAGAATAGCTCAGGCCCCTGGAGCCCCATTCAGTCATCAAGATTTAGAAATGGCTGCATTTTTACTAATTCTGGCACTTTATGGAAGTATAATTTGTAAGTGCAATTTTTTTTTTCAATAAACCTAAGTATAAAAATAAAAAATAAAAAAAAAAGAAATGGTCGCATTTTTACTAATTCTGGCACTTTATGTAGCTGCATTTCATTCCAGTATTTTGTTTACAGAAAATTTAGTTTTACAATTATGCACCCACATGTTAAACTAAGAAAGTAAAGAGTAACTCCACTTTTGTTGAGAAAACAAAAAAATGCACCCTGGTTGGTCAATTTACTATGCAAGGATTTTCACAAACTGTTAAAGATTCCTACATTTTTCTGCTCTGAAGAGAAAGCTGTATGTTTCACCAAGTTTTTTCGATAGTGATTCGGAAAGGGAGTGACTAATTCATTTTAATCAGTTGGTGCATTTGGAGTGCTCTCATAAGCTAGTGTCTTCATCCCTTTACATGTGATTCACCCTTAGAGAGTATCTCACCAAAAATAACATTTTTGTTGCAGAGGATGCCCTAAACCTAACTTGTATCCTAATGCAGAGTTCTACACACAAGCAGGAAGTGACATTTTGGGGGGCCAATCAGGTCTGATGAAGAAGCAACAGCTTTGAAATGCATTACCGCCCCTTCCTGCAACATTACGTTCCCGTAGTGACGTCACTTCCACCCAGCGGCCATCTTGCATTCCAGCCTGGTTCCACAGGAGACACAGCCTGTACACGCTGCAGAGGACTCAATGTGAGGCAGGAGAACTGGCTTCCACCACAGCCATGGCCCCCAGATGTCCATCCACCCTCTCTTCTCTGCCTCTGGAACCCCATCTGGATGAGTCCCTATGTATCCATGCCTGCTAACTACTTACTTCTTGTGAGTTATATACCATTGTGTGCAATAAATGATTGTCAAATACTGCACTTAGTCTGGTGCCCCTCTCTCTCCTTTTATCTTTGACATTTCGGGGGGGGGGGGGGGGGGGGGGGGGGGGGGGTTCATTCTATACACTGTGTATGGAACACTTCCAGGAGCCATATTGCATTGACTTTATAGAAAATTAAAGTGCTACAGTTTGAAAAGAAAGGTGATTTTTAATAGCATTAAATTACAGTATGGCATGTTTAGCAATGTATATACTATATTCATTTTTCTTTACTTGCTATATTTTTTTGTCGAGAAACTGGAGTTACCCTTTAAGTAGTTTTCATTTGAAACTTGCATTAGGTCATGTTATGGTAAAAGAACTGCCCACTATCTTCCATAAAAACTTTGGGCTCAGATCGAACAACCCATGGCATCACTTGTTCTACACGTCCTACTACAGCTCAAGTAAGTCCACCCTCTACCTGACCTTACAAAACAAATCCTTGACCTATGAGATAGGGCCATCTCAACCTTAAATATTTACGCATATATTAGTCTAATGACCCCATTGTTCCTGCAATGCATAGATCCACATCTGGGGCATGGAACAAAATAACTCATTGCATACTTGTTACAATACTAAAAACAGGTCCACTTACCTCAGATCCACCAGGGACCCTTTTGGGACCCTGTATAATAGACCACTTGCTTTCAGTTTTCCTAATTCCTTCAGTCTATATCAAATAGAAAATAAATGCCCACCCCACTTCTATTGAGAATGTACTATTTTGCAACTTCCAGACTTCCCTTTCCCAAATATATACCATCCTGTCAGCTTCCTCACTCCCCAACCTCCCTACATGCAAATTTCTGTATTGAAAGTATCTGGAAGTCTATTTTAACTATGTTCTTTAGAGTGACAGTGGGAAGGCGGTTAAACAGCTAAATGAATCTAATTTGACATGATTTATGCTTGTATATCTGCATGATTAAACTACCTACACTTGAATTTATAAGTCTATGCATACTATACTGTACAGTGTTTATTATTACGTGACTGTTGCAGATGCTTTGATTATTTCTCTTGTACTGCCTTCAAACATAAACCTAATAGACCAAGAATGAACAAAAAGGACCAGTACAAAACGAGTTTTCACTGTTTCTGTATATAAACATGTAAAAAAGTGAGTTAAAAAACTAAAAAGGGTTACCTTAGCTGCCGACAGCTCCTCTTCCCCATATTTAATGCAAGCTTGTAGTTTCAACATCTAAGAAAAAAAAAAAAGAAAAGCCATCAAACAAGCTGGTTTATGTACTCTAACAGTTATCAGCATGGCTGATTCAGAACTGCAAAAGTCTAGCAACATAGTTACATTGTCGGTCTGCAAAAAAGACAAAAGTCCATCCAGTTCAACCATTAAAAAAAAAAAAAAAAAAAAAAAGTTAATCCTATACCCACAGTTGATCAAGAGGAATCCAAAAAAAACCCAGCAAAGCATGATCCAATTTGCTCCTGCTGGGAAAAAAATTCCTTCCTGATCCCCCGAGAGATGATCGGATATTCCCTGGATCAACTTTCCCTATAAATGTTAGTATACAGTTATATTGTGTGTATCTAAGAAAGAATCCAGGACTTTTTTAAAGCAATCCACTGAGCTGGCCAGAACCAACTCTTGAGGGAGTCTATTCCACATTTTCACAGCTCTCACTGTGAAGAAACCTTTCCGTATTTGCAGATTAAATCTCTTTTCCTCCAGATGTAAAGAGTCCCCCCTTGTCCTCTGATGACCTCAAGGTGAATAACTCTACACCAAGTTCACTAAATGAACCACTGATATATTTATACATGTTGATCATATCCCCCTTTAATCTCCTCTTCTCAAGAGAGAATACATTCAGTTCCTCTAATCTTTCCTCATAGCTGAGCTCCTCCATGCCTCTAATCAGTTTGGTTGCCCTTCTCTGTACTTTCTCCAGTTCCCCAATGTTTTTTTTTTGTGAATTGGTGCCCAAAACTGAACTGCATATTCCAAATGAGGTCTTACTAATGATTTGTACCGGGGTAATATCATATCTCTCTCTCTGGAGTCTATACTTCTTATAATACAAGAGAGGATTTTGCTTGCTTTAGAAACCGCAGCTTGGCATTGCATGCCATTATTAAGCTTGTGATCTACCAAAACTCCCAGATCCTTCTCCACCATTGATTCCCCCAGTTGTACCCCCCTAGTATGTATGATGCATGCATATTCTTAGCCCCCAAGTGCATAACCTTACATTTATCAACATTAAAACTCATTTGCCACATAGTTGCCCAATAAACAGAGCATTGAGGTCGGTTTGTAAATTGAAGACATCCTGTAAGGACGTTATTCCACTGCACAGCTTGGTGTCATCTGCAAAGACTGAAATTGGATTTGTAATGCCAGACCCTATATCATTTATACATATATTAAAAAGTAAGGGTCCCAACACTGAACCTTGGGGAACAATAACTGCAGGCTCACACTATACTAGCCTTGCCAACCTTATTCTACATTCTTAAGATAAGTGAATACATGACAATAATACTGTATATTAACTATAATTATTTAACATTTTCCTACTGCACATCATCTACTTTTATTATATTTGTCATCGATCCAATAGGAAAAAGTTGTAATACATCAAGCACCATTACCTTGCTTTGGTAGGCAGGGTTATCCAACAGAAATGTTGCTTTCATTGCCTCTGGATACAAGCATGCCTTGTACAAAGACTGAGCATAATACAGTTTATACTCTTCCACTTCAGGATTGATTTGCATAAGTTGATCATAGCATTCAGCAGCATTCACGAAGTCTTGCATCTGAAAATAGCAGTAACCCAAGAGGGACAGGCCAGCCCTAGACTAGAAATAAAAAAGGAGATTAAAATTTAGGACATAATATGACAATGCTAACCCAAGGCAGGAAGGTTATTTTATTATAACAAGGCACAGTTTGGTTTATGTAATAATCTGGATACCAAGGCATTGGGCTTGTTCACACTTGACTAAATTTCTAATGCTCCTATAGCTTTAGTTTAGGCGTTAAACAGGCGCTAATGAGCTTTAGTATGGGTATTGACTGACTTTTTCTTTCAAATGAGTTTTCATTGAATTTTCAAAAGAAAATGATATAGACATAAGTGAGCAATCCATGACACAATACAGTTGTCCAGTATGAGACATGCAGTATGACAATCAGTAATTCACACATAGGGATTGATAAGGCAAAAGGAAATTACAGAAAGCTGTGCCTAGCGGAGTTCCACTCACCCTGTCAAAAAATAAAAGTCAGCAGCTACAAAAACTGTAGCTACTGACTTTTAAAAAACAGCCACTTACCTGTCCCTCGGTCCTGAGGTGTGTCCCCCGCAGCCCGTTTCACCGGCCGTCCTGTATTCCAGGAGGCCGGCATCTTCAGTGTGGGTACCCGGCTGTGACAGCTTGCAGCTTTACAGCCGGGTACCCACTGCACATGCGCGAATAGTGCTGTGCTTCATGAATGGTCCTGTAGTCTTCTGGGACCTGTCACGTGACCCAAAAGACTACAGAGAGGGAGGACACCTTGCGATCGGACCGGAAGTGGGAGCGGGTACCTGTAAAATTTGGGTACCCCCTCCCCACCCCCCACAGGTTCCAATCCTTAATGGGGAGTGGGGGAGCAGTCCTTAAAGCGGAACTTCCCCTTTTGGAGAAGTGGAGCTCCACTATATGGTCTCATTTATCATATGTCAAAAACTTATTGTGTTCTTAAACATGTAAGTAATTGTAAAATATCCAAGTAACAAAGGATAAGTAATACAATCTTTCAAAAACAGTAAGCCAGCAAGTTCTTCTTGGTTAATAAACTAGAGATCACAGGATTAAAAAACTACATGGTCCAGTATTTTAAGTATAGTATAGTAATAATGGTGCAAACTTATATGAAAGTAAGTTAAGATAGGCCAAATTCACCCAATGGGGAACCTAAATTGTTGCCAAGATTCCCATCTTCGGTGAAAGTTATCTGCTGTACCATCCTTGTATGCCATTAATCGTTCATATCCATAAATTATATGCAGATGCTGCTTATCTCAGATATGTTAGGATTAGTGCCGATTTCCATTTTCTGACAATAATGAGGTGTGCTATAAATAAGATATTTAATGATATAGGTTTTACTGAGGGAGGATATTTATCCATGTTCACATTCAAGAATGCCTGCTCTACATTGACATTAATAAAGATACCTATTACTTCTGATAACAATCTGAAAACTTTTTTCCAGTAGCGTCTAATATGAGGGCATGTCCAAAGCATGTGGACAAACCACAACCCTTCCAGCAAACATTAGAGCCCCCTTTAGAACATTTAGCCAACATGTAAGGAGTCAAGTACCAACTAGGATGGGATTGGAGTAAATTTTATAATTTTTTATAAAAGGGACATACCCCTTTTCTCTGATGAATAAGAATTCCAGAAGGACCAAGTTGAATTTGGGAGGATTGAGTCCAAGATTGTGTGTTGGGTAAGACATGCTGCAACTTTGGCATATAGTAGGAAGTCCCACTGGGGGATAGAAAATCTTGAAATAAGTCCATCAAATGAAACCAATTTCCCTTTTAAGATGTCACAAATATTTTTGATCCCTTTAGCCTCCCAATGTTTAAAAGATACCTTCTGAAGGAGGAATTGGAGAGATTCCAGTGGTATGGGAATTGTAGTGGGGCTAGCAGATTTGCTACCCTCAGTTAGTAAGTAAGCCCATGCTTTAAGTGTCGCTGTTATGGTAGGATGTGTATGAGTTTTTTTAATCTGACATAGCTGGGACACCAGCAATAAGGAGTGTAGGTTACCTGAAGGAATACAGGCTTGTTCTATTTGGCACCAAAGTCTAAGCTTGAGGGGTAGGATCCAGAATTTTAGTTGGTGGCCATATGGTAGTCTTTTAAGATAGGTACCTCCATGCCTCCTGCTGACCTATGCTTTGTGCGAATGGTAAATGAGCATCTAGCGTTTTTGTTTAACCAAGTATATTTAGATATTTTAATTTGAAGAATTTGGTAGAAGCTATTAGGAACACAAATGGGTAATGTTTCAAAATAATACAGAATCTTTGGGAGGACTAGCATCTTAAAAGCTGCTAATATGCCTGACCACGATAGATAATGTTTCTTCAATTTCTCTAAATCTCGACAAACTAACTCAATAAGGTGTACTAAGTTTGCTTTATAGAGATTAGAAAGAGGGGAAGTAAGAGAGATGCCCAGATATTGCAATGATCCCTTGTTTCATGGGAAGGAGAACATAGATTACCTTAGATTGTACGCCTCTTGAGGGTTAGGGACTGATATGAATGTACAATATATATGTAAAGCGCTGCATAAATTGACAGCACTATATAAGTACCTGAAATAAATAAAATAAATAAATAGACTGCAGAGAAGATTGCAGTTCTGTATTTGTATTGATATCTACAATACCAGATTAAGTTTCGTTGACCTTATAGCGTGATACTTAGTTAAATAGCTACAGTATCTTGTAAGCTTTAGACAGGGAAAGAGCCGGATTCGTTAAGGTCAAAATTACATCATCTGCAAATGTTATAGTGTGGGACTTGTCAAGGACTTTTATGCCTGACATTTGCGAGTGTGTACGGAGCTTTTCTGCAAGTGGTTCCATAAGGAGTGCAAAATTAAAGGGGAGAGGGGGCACTCCTGCCTTGTTCCATTTGTAATAGAAAAACATTTAGAGAACAAACCTTCAGTGAATACAAAGGCTTTAGGGTGTGTGTAAAACGCCAAAATGGCTGCATGTATTTCTCCAATTAGACCAAACTTTGGCAGCACCAGTGACAAATAGCCCCAGTGGATACTGTCAAAAGCCTTCTGGCGTCTAACGTAAGAAACAGAGAGGGCTCACATGACTCCGCCACCCTGTGCATAAGGTTTAGAATGTGCCTTGTGGCGTCTGAAGCTTGTCGCCCAGGGACAAAGCCCACTTGGTCTTGTTTAATCAATAAAGGTAGATGCGCTAGTCTGTTTGCAATAAGCTTGGCATAAATTCTAAGATCTACATTAAGTAATGAGATCAGTCTGTAATTTTGAGGGGAAATTGACTCTCTCCCTGGTTTGGGAAGTGTCACTATAGTGGCAGTTAACATTTCACAAGGAAATGAGGCAGAGGACACAGAGGACTGCTTTATACACCCTCTCAAGGCGGGGAGTCCGTAGAGTGGAAAATAGTTTATACGATAGTATTCGAAAGAGTATCCATCAGGGCCAGGACATTTGTTATGAGGTAAGGTGGTTATGACATCAGTAATCTCCTTAATGGTAAATGGTTGGTTTAAAATGAGAAGATCTTTATGTTCTATTTTTGACAGTGATTGAATCCAGGAATTCAGCAATGCGTTCTGGAGTGGGTTGGGGAATGGAGGCATCCTTCCCTAAATTATACACTTCACTGTAGGTACGCGAGGAGGATTCTGGGAGCGCGGTGGGGGGTGACGTCATTTCCGGCCATATCTGAAACCCCTATATTAAATATCCATGCAAGGCATTCATAGCATGAGGTACAGGAGCCTGATATTGAAGATCTAAATGTGAGTGGGCATTCTTATTGTATATAGAATGAATAAATACAGTTTTTACACTATGTAAGCTTTCAGTCTATATATGAACCGAGGAGGAAGCTGCTGATAGAGTATATGACTCTGGGGAGGATCCGGTGATTCATCAGAGTGGTGTTTTATCCTAAGGCGAGCTGCCCCTGTGGTGTCTATGTAAGGAGGTGAGGGGCCACTGTAGCCATTGTTTGGATTCACACAGTGTGTCATCTGGTTTTTTTGGACACTATTTTTCATATGGACTTATTTTGAGTGATTTATATTTGGAGTGATTTTTGAATTATTGGTTGTGATCACTTTGAACACTCTTAATATTCCCGGTGGGAATACACGTGTTGCGCTTTATTTTATTTGCACATTTGCACAGATTTTTAGCACGTAGTTATATATTTATTATTATATATATTATTTAAGATTTAGCGCTGCACTTTGTATTATTTATTGTTCATTTACTCACTTTGGTAGGAGGTTAAATGTCAGCAGCTTTAGTGATAGGGCCCCATTTCTAGCGCAGGAGGTCCGTTCCTTAGTTTATACGGTAGTATTCGAAAAAGCATCCATCAGGGCCAGGACATTTGTTATGAGGTAAGGTGGTTATGACATCAGTAATCTCCTTAATGGTAAATGGTTGGTTTAAAATGAGAAGATCTTTATGTTCTATTTTTGACAGTGATTGAATCCAGGAATTCAGCAATGCGTTCTGGAGTGGGTTGGGGAATGGAGGCATCCTTCCCTAAATTATATACTTCACTGTAGTAAGTTCTAAAAGCATCTGCTATATCTTGTGGGTTATACATTTTGCTACCTTTGGTTGGATGCAGCAAAAACGTATTTTTTGTTTAGAAATATTTTCTTTAAGTTGGTTAGCTAAAAGCTTACCCGCCTTATTGCCATGACAATAGTAATTTGCTTTCAGTGCTCTTAACTGATGATTATGTTGAGATAATAAAAGTGTTCTAAGTTCTTGTCTGGCTTGATAGAGCTTTGAGTATGTAGAAGCTGAAGGCTGTGCTTTATTAGACTGTTGTCAGGGATCCAGGTATGACCAGAGATGTGTGGACTGACACAGGGAAACAGCAGGCTTCAGAAATGATTAAATAATAATAATAATATTTATTATGAGCTGCACAAAATAAACAAACACAGTGCAAAACAAAACAAACCTTAAACTAATAGGTACAGGGGCAGTCAGGGCTGGAGAGGTGGAGTGGTCAGGCAGGCCGGGTCAGGAGCAATCAGGCAGAAAGGTACAATGGGA